TTAATTAAGTGGATCGCGAATCGTTAAGATTACTATCGATAATCGATTGTTGTATACACGGAATGTAATGTAACAATTTGTATTCGGTTTTTTCTCTTCTTTTCATTATGACATCGTTGCCCATAAAGATGGAATCAATATGATTATGTTCGATCGTAATTATATTGTACTATGATCATTTCTATTCTAGTCAATTTTGTTGATCATTAGCAAACGGAGCTTCAACGGTTTCATAAGAAATTTATTCTTTTCAAGTTTTCTTACATTTTTTCGGGAATAAGACTCTTTCAATAATGAAAGTTGATGTTATAATATTAATGCACTATTATTTCCAAAGAAGTGTTTCGCGTAAGGCGAAATCATCCCATATAAGATTGTTCGATGGTTAAATATAAACCTAGTAGCATATTGACTAACAATAATCTAAGTATCAGTTGCTAACTTTTCCCATCGTACTTCGACTTTCAACGAATCTCACGCCCACAAAAGCGTACCGACCGTCGATAAAATCGGTCAAAAAATCGACATTCGATCCTCCTTCTTCACCCTATCATTTACAAATAATAACAATGATAAAGTCTACACTCATCGAAGTAGTGCATAAGTATAAGTTATCTATCGCAAAGATCGAGGATACACACACACACACACAATGTGCGACGACGACTTTCGCGTGCTTAGTTGCTGCTGTAGTTGCCAGGGTAAGCAAGAGCCTTAGAGAAAGTTAATTTCGCATGGCCGTTGAACCGATCGCGGATTACGTAGGAGAGTAGATGCCTGTGTGCGCGCGCTAGTTGGTGGACGACACACGTGCATGCACACTCGCTTAGTTGATGCTATATAATGGTACCGTGTACACTCGCACGTTCGGCACGGCGATTGTAATGGGCCACTTTAGGATATCTAGCGGACGGCGAGGGTTATTGAGGCTAGTTTCGAGAAAGAGCTATTGTTGGTTTTTTTTTCTTATAATTACCATCGTTATTTTATGTATTAGTATTTTTCGTGGAAGTTCGCGGTAATGAATTTTCTTTTTTATTGAAGTTATTTATATTTAGTTTTATTATGAATCGTGGTATTTCAATTGAAATGTTGAGTGTAAATTGATTTTGACGTGAAAATGATGAATAATAGAATGGATTTTTATAGTGTCAATATCAATTTTTATCGTTATTGCTCAGACATCAATAGATATGCTTTCTATTAAAAATGCTTACTCTCAAAAAACAGTTGTCGTACAACAAAATAGAATATTTTCACCAAAAACAAATTTCTTGTTTTGAGAAAAATTGATTTGAATGTACAACATTTGAGAACTTTCTTCAAAAGTGTAAAGGTGTAATTTCACACACTAATCACCGATTTTAATTTTTAAGTTAATCTACGATAATTTTCACTTGCAAATGCCAAAAGTAAAATCTGCGCTTTAAGTTCTAAGTGCTCTATTTACTTTACTATGAAACTTTGATTTTAGAACTTATCGTAATCATACCATCAACATCATAATAATTTAAATGTTGTATTTAAACAATGACTATTCTTATCCAAACATTTCAACCTCGTTTAAATATAAATAAAATCGTTTAAAAAGTTAAATAAAATCCATTTCATGCAACATTCATTCCAAGACGATTTGTAGGTATGTTGTAACCACCGCCGTATCCATGGCAACAAAAGAGATCCATAGATCTCTCGGTAAATTCGAATCCACATCGACGAGGAAACATCGCACATAATCAAGAAATCGTGCTTCGTACGAATTTTCACTCACTTATCGCGTGCAGCTCGCGTGTCTGTGTGTATAGATCTCCCGCGGATTTGTCTGACGCAAGCATGCAACTACAACCTGCATGAGATATTGTTTACTCTAAAATGAAAATAAAAGAAAAGAATGTTGTTTCTGGAGGATGACACTTTTTTTTTAAAAAAAGAGTCACTAACGGCTCTTGCTAGGCCGCAAAACAAAAGCCTAGAAAGACACAGTGAGAGGTCTATCTGGGTCTCCAAGCACTTATGCATGCTTCAACAGCAGAGCCGCGCGGATCTAATCATCCGCGAGTGCCGCCCGCGCAAAAGCGACTATTGCGTCTCCCTGTTCCGCGTGATACTTTTTAAAACTCTTCAACTCTTCTTTTGTAGACGAATGTGGTTTGAGGTTAGTAAAGATGTTTCTTCTTGTCATTTATTGGATTACCTTCTAGACGATATTCATTTTAGCAGTTGCTTTTTATGCAGTAAATCCAAGCGGTTTACGAGAAACATGATACAATAAATTTATGTGATGCGTCAATTTGTCCCGATTAAATGATTGCTAATTAGTTTTCGGAACCAAACCTACGTTACTTTTGAATGTTGAATTTAAAACATGGTTATACAAACTAGACTATGCGTGACAATACCGCTTTAAAAGGAATATAAATGATACAGCTCGATCAAAAAAAAACGTTAGTTTATTAATGCGTATTGAAATAAATGATATTATTTCGGTTGTAATTATAATTTTGGCTGAGACTTGTGAAAACTTAAACAAAAGAAATCATTAGGAAAACGCAAATGTGTACATAAAGGATGTCCGGGCTCTCACTGAAAGAAAAATTGAGTGCGTCTGCAATAACAGATGCACGAGGTACTAGAATCTGGTCTGACCATATTCGCTATCTGTAAGGTCGCGCTCATTGACTTTTTGCCGCTTGGAAAACCGGTCGTCGACTGCAAAAACGTCCGCAAACGCTTTACGTACTCTCGCTCTGTACTCCATTGCGCGCCCACGCCGTTGTACATGTATATATATCTGCGTATTGCAAGTACAAGAATTTGAAGAAAACGACAAGTTCTAAAATCAAAGCTTCATAGTAAAGTAAATAGTGGGGCACTTAAAGCTTAAAGTGTAGATTTAACTTTTGGCATTTGCAAGTGAAAATTTTCGTAGAATAACTTGAATCGGTGACTAATGCGTGAAATGGCATGTTTACACTTTTTTTTCCATTGAATTGGCACCTTGATAATGTTCATTTTTGGTCGGCGAAGGTCTTGCGGGGCGAACAAAGGACTTTGAGCTACAATTTATTTCGAATTGAAAGGTACCAACAATGTTTTATCGAAAAAGTGAATTTTCATATCATCTCTATATGACAAAATATATAAAAAGTCATTCACTGTTACAATAATTTTTACAATTTATTGAACGAAAGCCTCACGAGATAAAAATTTTCGCTCGCCAAAAATTAAAAACGTCATTCTCATGAAAAACTATCCAATCGCGTCCAGCCGACCATGAGCAATAATAAAAAGAAACAGTGAAACTTTCTTGCATCTCCTCGGTATCACTGAAAAGCAGTTAATAGAATACATAGAAACTCAAAGGGACTCGCGATATAAATCGTCTCTACTGCATGAAGAGAAAAACGAAAAAAAGAGTATCGGTGAGGAAACAAAAGAGAACGTATGAATACAGGACACGCTGTGCTTGCTGCCGCGCATAGTAGTGAGAGCAGCAGCAGCAGCACACAATTTGTAATATCGCTGCTGCGGCGCGCTCAGCGCAGAGAGAAAACGTGCAGCAGCGCGCGAGCTAGAGAGTTTTGTTTTCCGGTTGGTCGTGGAAAAAAAAGTCACCGCGCGCTTGATGTGTGTGTTTAAAAGCTGCAGCAGGATATTTCGCAACTCGTCACTCTTCTCTTTATTTCTCTTTTGCTTTCGTTGAGTAACGTTCGTGAAAATTCTTCCCTGCACTCCGTGCGCGGGGACTCGCTTCAAACTCTCGTCCCGCACTCGTCGCATCGAAAAATCAAGTCAGATACCTGTGCGAGAAAGTAATTCAGCCTCGCGTAGACGTTGGCGCTCGAGCGGAGCGAGGGTAGAGAGACCTAACGTCGAAATGTACTATGTATTATTTTTGTAAATTATTGAAAGATTTTGATCTCGAGTGTATGTGATTTATGTAAGATGTAGGTGGTTACTCTTTGAGATTGCAACTGGATATGCGCTTACTGTTTTCGCGATAAGATCGAAATAGGCGGAACGGGTATCTCAGGATATTTTTTCACGGATGCGTCGAAGAAAATGATCGTGTGTGTTTTGGCTATATTTATAGATAAATTTATCAGGCTGTATTGTTCGTGATGTTTTTTGCGTTGAACGACTTAACTTAAACAAGCGGTATTATTGCGTGGAGGTAATTGATAAAGAACGTTTAAGCTACATTTATATTTAAACCATCAATTAATATATAAGCATGTCAATCCAACGAGCTCTAAAAAGAAGTTTTACTTGCGGTTCGAGTATTACCGATCAAGAAAGGCCATTACAATATGGCATAAAATCGTGATTGGAATTCGCATCTTCACCGATAGAAACATAAAAGCAACTGGCGCGTTACACAATTTCAATCAGTGAGATTTGCATCTGAGCAAACAATGCGCAACGAAAAAGCCGCCATTCTCGATAAATCTTTTTTACATTTTAAGATATACACACATGTATATCGAAGTACTTTCAGAAGACGAGCAACATCAGCATATTGCACAAAGATTGAATAATCCATCAAACGCAAATGGACGCGCGTTCGAATTGCCGTTTGATTGTTAGTGAGTAATCGGCGCTTGTTCCCCATTTCGATTCAACACCCAAGCAAAAATCAATCTCCGTTAATGCCTTTGCTGCGATATATGAGTTGAGCTAGAAAAAAAATACTTTTAAATTCTAATCTACTTACTTGAATAGTTGCACTGCCTATCATTTATTTATTTCAGCGCTATCGTTAGTTTTTAAATTGTATAGTATCTCAAGTTCAGTGAGACAATTACTTTAACATTTGTTTTCACAGTGTTCAACGAAGATTTTCTTACAGATTTTTCTTTAATTTACACCGAGCGAACGTGATAAATTCTGCTATTACATCTATTATTTACAATCTAACCAATGCATAAAAGAAAAAGATTTGTTTAAAGTGTAAAAGTCATGAAATTAAAAAAATATAAAGTGAAATTTGTTGTTTCCAGAATGCAGTGAAGATGCCGTCATTGCTAGAAGCGTTGGAGCTGAAGTACGGCGACACAGCGCCGTCCGAGTGCTGCCTTACCGACGACGAACAGGAACCACCGCAATTGAGTGGTTCACCGCGCAGCGCTGCCCTATCAGTCAGCATTTTCATCCCAAAAAAGTCACCAAGACACACGGTGCCAGCTCTCCTCGTATTGCAAGACTGTGACATCGAGTGTGCGGGTGGAGATGATGAGAAGTTACGCAACAAATGTCGCAATGTCGAAGAACTCGATTTAGCTCAGAATAAACTCTCTAAGTGGGATGAAGTTTTCGGAATTCTAAGGCATATGCCGAAAATCAAATTCGTCAACTTGAGCTTCAACAGTTTGCCAGAAGCGCTTGAGGTAAGGATGAATGCTTCATAGGACATTTGGTTTCTCTTTCTTCTCAAAGTTTTTCGTGATTTTGGATTGTTTACTAATCAAGTTACGAAATTGACGTTACTATAATGCTGGGAATTCAAGTTGATTACTAGTGAGTAAAGCGCAAATTATTAAGGAAATCTCATATCAAATGTTGCCAAATATGAGGATAAACAATGGATATTTATCTTATTTTGGGAATATTGGATTATATCATTCATACTATTGTCTAATTTTCTATGAATCCATAATAATAAACGGAAAAAATAAATGATCCAAAAATATTTTTACACAGCATGTACAAACCTTCACTGAAATATTTGTGAAAAGCATTTTATACGTTTGATCTCCTAAGATTTAACCATGTGCACCCAAGAAGTTTGAAACTCCAAAACCGAAAAGTTTGCCAAGCTTTACTACTTTTTCAATTCGCGCTCAATGATTCCGTCTATGCCAGACATTCCTACGACTTCCTAAGCGCGTACACGGGCTTCTTATTCGTACGATCTCAATTCATAACTTTTCAGACTCTTTCTTCTTCTTCCACAGATAAAAGACGGTAAATATGACGCACTACGCAATCTGGTATTAAACGGCACGAGAGTATCTTGGTCGACAGTGCAAGGTTTGGTACGTCTGCTGCGTAACCTCGAGGAATTACACTTATCACTCAACGAGTACAAGACAGTTGATTTAGGATGTGAGAAGCCAGAAAATCGTAATCATACTCTTAGGAGGCTTCATTTCACCGGCAATCCAGTGGAGTTTTGGAGCGAAATATCCAAACTCGGTTTTGCTTTTCCGGCGTTAGAAAGCCTTGTACTGGCTGAATGTCCGATTAGATCACTTGATAATGAGGAAAAACAGGGTCTTGAAAACACGGAAAATGAGGATACGGAAAATATGAATCATATTGTTGAGAGAAATGGTGGAATGCAAAGGGTTGAAAACGGCAAAGGTGAATAATTCAAAATGAAATGACCACTTCTTCATGTGACCATTAATATCTTGTTTTCTCAGTTACAGGCAATCGTAATTTCGAAGAGGATGACATGATGCCTAATTATCTCAACGGAACTGAATCGACGTGCGAAGCCGACGACTGTATGAAAGCTAATGCAGCTCATGATCCCTTTAGATTGCTTAGGTTTCTTAACGTTAATGGCACATTACTCTCGACGTGGGATGACATCGATAAACTCGCTCGTTTTCCTCAACTCAAATCCCTTAGGATTCAAGGCTGCCCGCTCTTCGAGGTATACGATGGTTTTGTTTTGTAGCTGGCGTGAGATACTCATAGAACGGTTCATGAGATGCTTTCTCTAAAATTATCGAAAATTAACAAACTAAAGTTACTTAATAGTAACTCTGCGTAACTTTTGGCTGTGATACTTGGATCATTCGTGTCTAACCCTTAGACTTTACATATTTTTATAAAAAATATTTGATTTCAATAAAATCAATAAATTTTTGCCTAAACTATGCAAATAAGCTTAATCAATATTGGATCAATAAACGTTAAAGACAAACTACAATTTGTAGCATTGTCAATCAAAAGCAGTTATCACAACGTCAGGTCTTTCTAAGGTCGTTAATAAGGTTCATTTCTATCGTAAAGAGCTTTACAACCTTGATCCGTCGGTACAATAGAAAATCTGAAGTGAAATTCCTTTTCTATTTGCTATTTGACAGAGCCCACGCGAATACACAGAGCACGAACGACGTCAGTTGCTGATAGCGCGTCTACCCAACGTGGAGACCCTGAACGGTGGAGGCGTCATTTCGTCGCAAGAGCGCGAGGACGCTGAAAGAGCCTTCATACGCTACTACATGGATAAACCGGAACCCGAACGGCCCGAAAGGTCAGCCTCCAATTTCTCTCTCGTTTTTCCTTATTTGTCGTGTGACTTTTTGATTTTTGCATGCGTTGATCTACGACATTGTGAAGGTTTCCTTTTCTAGCATAAATGTCGACCAGAACCATATTATTTTGTTGAAAAACAGTCATTTTTTATTGCTACTCTTTATTGACTATCATACTGCGATATAGTTATTCCTCCATTGATTGTTATTAAATATTTAATTTACAGGTACACGGAGTTGGTTGGCATCCATGGAAAACTAGATCCGCTCGTAAACGTCGATTTGACGCCAGAAAAGAGGGTCAAAGTTAAATTTAGCTATGGTGACCTAGTCGAGGTATGACTTTCCTCTCTGCTTGGCATTTCTGTTGTTTTGTTATTGAATTTTTTTTTATTGACGAATTGATTTTACAGGTGAGGTCGGTGGACGTTTACAGAACGGTGTTCGAACTGAAAACTAAATTAGAATCAATGGTGAAAATTCCTGCAAATCGCATGAGGCTATTCTACATCGACCAGGTTTGCATTTGCATTATAACTTCTTTAAAAACCATACTACTCTTTCGAAAAACATGTTGCATAATCTTGATTAGAGACTTGATATATAATATACCATTTAGAATTAATATTAAAAAGCATATGTTCATTAAAATAAAAATGTCTAAGTCTAACATTTTATTTCTACAGGAACTGCGATCTCAGTACGGTCCAGAAGAGATGCTGTATCCAAATAAGCAACTCTATCGATATAACATCCGAAACGGCGACGAGATAATAATTGACAGTAAAGTTAATCGTTATGTGTCCTCGTCGACGACTCAGCAGTCTTCCATGCGTTCCTGAGTCGTCGTCACGGATATCGACGACTGTGTCAGCGCGTCAAACTAAGTGATGATTTTTTATATCTGCTTATCATTTTTTCATAAGTATTAACCTTCGTAGCGCTCGATTTTTCAAGGGCTAATTTAAATAAAAATGCCGTCCGGTGATTTTGACCGGTCAGGTTGTCAAATCAAAAAAGAACAACAAAAGTAATCCGTGTAACCCGCAGGTGCAAAGAAAAAGAGAATTATTTTTTTAAGTGCGAGTAATTGGATTTGTAAGAAGGATAAGAATGAAAATTTACCTATGTGTGTATGTTCACTATACGCAGAAATCTATTAATTTGCTGTTCTAAATGAATATGGCGTAGCAATGTTTTTTTTCTGTGATAGTGTTCAGAGGTAAAATTCATGCAATTGCATGCAATCGGAGTTATTGCGATTCTTCTTGTACAGATCTGAATGACGAATGAATATCGATGTCACTTATTTTGTTCGTGATATAATATCATTATTGTCTTTTGTTCATAAGTTCGGCTGAACAGAGGAAATTATATGCATCGATAGTTTTTTCTTTCCGCCGCGCTAAAAGTTGTTAGTTGTCACTGAGTACTTACAACTACTATAATGTTTATTATCGCTATAGGGTTAATATTATTTAACAGAAAATGATGGTAAAATCTAAGAATGTTAGTTTGTATTTACAATCAATGAAATACGTATTTGTAGTCAATTAACAATGCAGACATTCAACGAATTTGAAAAGGAATATTATGTGTATTCAATTAAGGGCATTCTCAAAAAAACAAAAAAATTATTTTTAACACTCAGAAACTAAAACGTGGATTGACAGAATAGCCTTGAAGAGTCATTTTCTAGTGCCTGCAAAAATAGCGTTAAGTAAATTTTGGAGCGAGCAAGTTTCAAATCTTCACCGCTATTAAAAAAACAATGCCGAAGAGACGAATACTCCGAAATCTTCTTAAGCTTCCACACTTATACGTGTACACTTCTTTTTGTAACACTGCCCTGTGTAAATATTTCTCGTGATTCTACATACTCGTATCTTTTTTTCTTGGCAAACCAAACAACAAGACAACTGTGTAACAAAAAGAAACTTCTCTAGTCTCGATATGATTTTTTTTCTTCTTGATAAATCAAAATTTTTTACACTTTCCGAAATTTACTGAAAGTTACAAAATGCGAAATAAAAGTAAAATAAATAAATCAGAAGCAAGACTACGGACGCTGCTTTAACAAATGCGCTGGTACAAGAAAAGAAGAGAACGATGATTTTCCGTACTACTGTTAGGGAATTTCAAGAGTAAGGTGAAAAAGAAAATTAACTAAACAAAAAAGAGACAAATTGTTAGTATCGTATAAAACTTGGTGCGATCTCGTTGTGTAGATTTTGTTACTTTGCTTTTTGTTAGTCTTTTTTGTACTTATAAAAATAATATTTTGTCAATATACTTTTATATTATACCTTCAAAAAATCAAGACATCTGAACTTATCAACAATAAACTGCCATTGTGCGTTCTCTAATATCCAGCTATTTGTCAAATATCCATATACGTGATTTTTACGACAAGATATTACTTTTACAAGTAGTCCGTGTATATAGATAATTCACTTACTTTATTGTTATATTCTTTATTTTCTTGATGTTTTTGATTTAAAAAAAGAAATGTTTTATATCTATTGGAATGAATAAAATTTTCGTTTGAATGAGCATTTTCATTTTGTCGAAAATGATCTGTTTGAATTCGTGACTTTATGTGATCGAGTAAGAAAGTGTTAATCGAGCGACGAATAACTGTGTACAAAAAATAAATCATAATAAGAAAAAACCTGTATGATTAACTGCCGCATAAGAGAATTACTGTCATCTTCATTGCGATTAATTTTTTTCTCTCTTTTTTTATTGAACTATATATGATAAATAACAGTGATGCTTTTTACATATTGTAAAATATTTATATATTTTAATTGAAGCTACAAGAGATAAGCTTCTTTGTAGTTTGATTTTACTTGGAAGAAGATTCTTTTGATGTATTTATTGAGCTCTTCCATTATCAATTTATTAAGTTAAGTGTGATCCTATTAAGTGATAAAAAAAAAGTTAAATAAAGTGGCTTAAACATTTAATACAGTGAAATTCATTTAAACTTCACATACTTTTTATTATTTGTTTAATAAAAATTTTCTCTTTTTATTATTATTATAATTAGAACTTAATTATTGAATATGATCTAAAAGAAATTGTCATAAAAATTGACATTAGCAAGTGAACAATCAGTTTGCTACTGAAGAAATTGAAATTCTATAAACTATTAATAATTACATCAATATTAATATATTAACACAGAAAGCTTCTATAATGAAAAAGTTCGATTACGCCATTTAAAAATGAGAAATATTATTTTTAATAGATCGAACAAAAATATTAAATAATGGATGACGAGAAAAAATTATTAATCAAAAAGTCATTGATTAACAATTCATTTTTTATAAACTATATATATATATCTAAGTGAAACTTAATTAGTAACCGCATAATTCATTGAAATTTAATATTAAACTGTTTATAAATAATTGAAGTCTGAATGGCTCATTAATCGATCCTATTAGCGTGTCCAAGATCAATATAGATCAATAGTTTTGTTTAAAGACATCCTTGCAAAATATTTGCTAACTGATTTTAAGTTTAAATTTTCTAATCACAAAGTTTCAAAAGAATATTTTTTACCGTGTAGCAGCAAAGAGTATTAGTATGGACTCATGATCAACCCTAGAGATATTCAGATGAAAACAAAGTTCTACTAAGTTTTAATTAGTTGCATCTTGGGAAAGTTATCTATAAGACGTTAGAGTCAATTTCTGTAATTCCGAAAATAACATTTAAAATTCTTGATTCTGGTTTATGAAAAGCCTATTTCAATGCTCTCTTGCAGAGTGTAAGTACATCATTGTTGCATCATCGCGCCTGATGCAAAGCCTCCATAAAAGCGCGAATTAATTGGCGATTTTAATTTAGATCGTCCTTTACCAGTTCCAATTTGTCGATTAATTGAATTTTAATTAATCCCGTAGATCGTCACATGACCGCGCTACTGACACTTACTTCGAAAGTAATTTTATTTAGTTTAATTACTTGAAAAGTTCAAATATTTCTTAATAGACACCTGCAGACGTTTTGATCGATCTCTTTATGTCAGTATAACTTCCCGATTGAATATTGTGAATTACATGAGTATAGAAATGTAGTTTGTTAATTTTTGAAAATCTTAGTAACATGCAAATTAACCGGATGAATCATAGGATATGGCTTAAATCTATCTAAACATAAATTTTATATTCTATGCAGCGAAATTTTGACGCTAAAACTTTTTAAATAAAAAATTTACCCTTGTTTCAAACTAAAATTCGTATAGTTACGTTTCACAAATAATCCTAAAATCAACTCTTTTATCTAATTGAGCAAACATGTGCATTCGAATGTCCGTGTATTTTCGTTGATTCGATTCCAATGCAAGCAGCAATTACGTAAAGTGAAATTTCGCTCTTTCAGTCCAATGATAACATGTTCTCAATAAATCTCTCATCTCAAGGTACCATATTGTCAGTACAAGAATAATGTTTCGTATCGATAGAATTATACGAAAAAACCTCATTTAGCTTCAACATTCAGTTTTGGCGCATGAATCGAAACTCTCTCTCCCTCTCTCTACCTCTATATATAACTTCTTGTAGCTAAGTTGCGGCGTATTGAATTAACTAACCGATCTTCCCCTCTTTTGAACGTATAAACTGCGATTCAAGCCCAAACGCGTATATAGCTTGTAATTTTACTATTTGATTTAGTATTAACTCAGGCTTTTATGCTTTAGATTGAGGTGTTTTTATTTTTCTTTGTAAATTAGTTAGTAATTTATGGGCTCAATTTTTCTTTAAAAGTGAGAATGACATCGATATTTTTTTTTTTGGAATCAGATTGCCCAAAATTAATGCTCTTCAATATAAAATATTGATAATGTCTTACTTTAAATTCCATTTATATTTTTCGAATATCAACTAACATTAAACTAGTGGTCTGAAATTTTTTGAGAAAATCGAAACGTTCTACTCGTACTGAGTAATTTTGATATAGTCTAATTAAAAATAAGTCTATTAAAAACTTCCTATGTATAATATTATGAATTAAGACGTTTCTTTTGTTACATTATCTTAAAAGTTTCAAATTTAATATCATTTCCAAAATCAAGTACCAATTAAAACCACACACCACTATGCAATTCAACCTACTCCATTCATATGCTAACTTTGTTGCCCTTAGTTGGGAGAATTCCTGGAACCAGCCAGCGAATAGGGTTAATCTTGCAAATCATTGGGTTCCATTATCAACAGGGGAACGCATGCCTAAACAAGCATCCACACACACTCACACACACACAACTCGACCAAACACAGACGAAATTAGAACAGGCGAGCGGGTGCGCGTTCAATCCTTAACGCTCGTCTTGTTCAAACAAAAGCCCCGCAAACGATAAACCAACTAAACTGCGCTACTTCAAACTGTGTCTTTTTTTTCTCTCATGTTTGGCTCGTTACGATTTGTTGAACGATTGAGCTGACACTGTTCACTTATTGAGATAATACATTTGATAATCCAAGCACAATTAATAAGATTTTTGAAAAACAACTACTAAATCAAGCTCAGCGTTTGCTATTTTCTTTTTGAAAATTGAAAATTCTATCGTAGTTCTATAGGAATCGTTATGCCACCTGTAAAATTATACATCTGCGCGTGCGGAGTTAAAGAAAAATAGTAAATAAGATCATTTTTATTCAGATAATTTGAACGGCAGAAATACTGGTTGAAATTTCAAAGTAGATTTTCGTGGAAGAAAGAAAATGAGGAAGATGATACTAAGCGGATTTCGAGTTGCAGTATTTTTTACTTCAAACTTACGCACCTCGCGAAAATAATTCTTGACGTAACAATCGTTATCCTGGAAAATAGAAAAGAAGAAAAATGTTTTTTTTTCTCCCCCCCCCCCCCCCCCCTCTGTCTCCCTCTCTCTCTCTGCTTCGCAATTAACCACAAGCTACAATAATAAATCGCCGACACACGAGAAATATTGGATACGCCTGTGTGCGTGGTGGCTCATTTAAAATGCGAGTGGAATAGCCGAGGGGAGAAAGCGAAAAAACGCTCGTACGCATACATACATGCACATATTCTATGCTCCTCGGCCCCTCTTTCTCGATTATCGTAGCTTGGAGTCAGCATGTAGACGATCGATGCTAAGGCCATGTATTTTTCTTTTCATTTGGAGATCGTTCCTGCCTTATTTAAATAATGGATAAATGATAATTTAATTAGCTTATCGTTTTTAATGCATTATGGTGAAAAAATTATATTCTTAGTCGTTAAAAAGGAAAGGTGAATTGTAAAGACGAAAAGAACAGTGAGCTAATAAAGTCACGGATAAGTTGAATGAGAAGAAGCTAAGTTGAGTGTTTACGCGAGACTCGCGAGAAAATACGGTAATTAGTAGTCAAAGTTTAAGTAAATTTTACACGCACGAGTGCTAGTCGCGTCGAAGTAACTTCGATGATCGAGAATTAATTACGAGTATCTGTCATTAAATGTGTTCGTAATTAATTGTAAGGTTTGGGAAAGAACATGAGAGGACAAATAATCAACGAAAGAATCGATCGCAATTTATTTTGCAAATTGCAATCAATTATTACCAAGGTCAGAACCAAGACTAGTAATTCGTAAAATCCACTGCCGTTCAAAGCAGCGCCCAACACTTTGCCTGCCAATAAGACTATCGCAAGCTCGTTCACGCGCGATCCCCTCAACGAGTGGCGCCGTCTATGCTTCGCTCACGCAGGCCGAGCCAAAAGCTTGTGTGTATGATACTGGGGAGCTTCGAACTCGGCCAAGCAAAGCAAGCGAGCAAGCAGTCGCCGCTGCGTCGTCGCCAGCGGCGTACGTGTGCGTGCGCTCCGATGAGCAAACGACAAAAAGGGAAAAACAGTTGTTGTGTTAAAACCGCGAGAGAGGAAGAGATAGATCGGTGTATTGTTGCGTGATGGTGTGATCCATTCGCTTTGTTCTTCGGTTCTTTTCAATTTTGCCGCGGAGGGCATGGCGAATCGTAGGTGACATCGGGAAGCCATGTAAGTGAAAAAAAAAAAAAACAAATTCACGCTTCGTAGAGAGAACAACATAACGAAGTGCAGGAAGACCATGTTGTCTCTAAACAACTCTCCCGTGTGACGGTCACGAGACTGGGAAAGGTTAATTTTGTTGATGTATTTCGTAATGGCTTGCGTAAGAAAAAAAGTACACGTGGATGGCGAGAACGAGAAGTTTATTGTTCTTTTTTTTTTGTTATTTTTACACTCGTATTGAAAATTTTGAGAGATGAGTGTGGAGCTTGTACAACTGGCGAAAATAGCTACCTACAAACAGAGTAAAAATTCGAAATATCATTTGCTTGGGTGCTGGATCGACGTTGTACAATAATGTACTCGGCAAACTCGTGCTTCCCGATTAAAAATCGAAGAAGTCAAGTGTATATTCTTTACCTTAAAAAATTATCAACTATGGTGAAACAATCTACAGATACACAAGCTATTTTACCGCAAAAAAAGCACGCGAGGCTTATTGTACAGTGACGGTCAGACAGAGAGAGAGAGAGAGAGAGAGAGTGAGTGAGAGAGAGAGAGCGAGAAAGAGAGAGACAGTAAAGGGAAAAGAGGGGAACCTCACCCCTACAAGCGGAGCACTGACTCTCTCTCTCTCCGACCTCGTCCTCGTCAGGGGTGCAGTTTTCGACCTCGTGCCGCCGATCGATCGCTCGAGACGCGCCGCTTTCTCTCTCGTGTTGTACGTGTCTGCGGCCTTTTTTCTTGTTTCTCCATAAGGGATATAACGTTGTCTTGGGTGTGCGCGCGCGCGTGTGTATGTACGTGTGTTCGTTCATGTGTGCACCGCGTGAAGTTTCTTTTTTGATGAAAGTTTAGGCTCGCAAGATAAACTCGCGCCAAAGGCGATCGATTGCAGTCTTGGTTGCTAGAGAACTTCTGTTCGTTTGATAAGATTGAAGGTTGATGAATTTGCCGTATGAGTTATAGAATTTTAAGATGAAGAAATTGCGAGATTATTGATGTGTAAAGCATCGTAACAATTCGGATGAGTCGCGGATTAATTTGCATCAATTACAATTGTGCAATCTGTCGATTTTCGGTTTCAATAATTACTTTTTATTCGGCTCTCAATTAATGTATAACCATACTATCGTCTACGTACGTGATTCAATTTCTAACAATTCCATAAAATAAAACGATCAATTTCCCTTTACGTATATAAATGATGCTGCACGCACTTCTTTACGAGAACCTCGACAAACTATTATTAGGATAGATTCCATCGCTGTGCGTCCTTAATATAACTGTATTTATGGAACAACAACGTTGAACGGAAAGTCGATATTTTCTCTTAAAGGGAAGTAAAAATGTAGCAATGTTGTAATCGCGCCGTTAGAGCAATGAGTTCAATGAGTTGATAAAACTTATATGTACGTGAAACATGAGATTTACTTTGTAGGGTCGGTAGACCCTAAAATATTTTTTCTTTCCATGTCTGTGTAGTATATTACTTTTTAAACATTGAAAAATATTATCTTAAAATGTTTCTTGCGTGAAAATGGACTTAGTTACTGCCGTTATATACCTTTGGGCGTTTTAACACTTTTTTTTCGTACAAAGACTAAAAATATGTAGGCGGAGTGCTTTGAAAGCTGTGTGATGAAGATTACTTTTTTTCAGCGAGTAGCAGGTTTGCGACGCGGGTCATAAAAAAATAGAGAGTGTAAGGAAACATTGAGTATTTGCGATTGTAGGTGGGAAGATAAATATCCTAGTAGATTAATGACTCAAAGTAGATCAATGACCGCTGAAACATAAATCATATGATTTAATTATGCAACACGCACAACCAAACTTTAATACACCCACAAAAGTTCGTTGACTTGCCACCTTTCGATTCTCGAGTATTAAGCACGATACATATTTCATCCTCCTAAAAATGTGTGTCCCGAAATTCATGTATACGTGTATTGATCTGCGACCTGCAATACATCCATTTCTTTTTCCGTTCATTATCGATTGCTATGTAAAATATTCAAAATTTGCTATAACGAAGATGCTGCTAAATCCTTCTAAATCTGACATTGCCACTGAGGATTTTAGCCTTTTGATCGAATTTTATATAGGTCAAGAGCTTCCGATACTTTGATTAATGGGCCAAAAATGTATATTTTGATGTTCAATTTAGATTCGTATATATATATATTATTCTTCACCAATTCGCAGTTAATGGATTCATTGTCAGAAATTTTCTAAAGTTTATGCGCTTTTGTTTATGTTATCTCGATATATAATAGCATGTATTTCGTAAAGTTGCGATAGCAATCTGCATTATTTTTTGATCGCTTAGAGATATACTTTACATTTTCATGAAACACACTCAAGCATACTCTTATCATAAATATATCTTTATTAGCTTAATTGAGATGAAAAGTAAAAGACATTTAAGAATTTGAATATATTATATTCATTAAATTTAATGAAATGTAATGCAATTTCATAAGGCATTTGGAAAAAACTATTTTCATCAAAAATGGCATATGAGAAGCCTTTTATCGAGAGAAAGCCTTCAAACACCTTTTTCACTAGAATTTTCCAATAAAATTGAAATTGATGAAATTTAGAACACGTTTTTCATGCCGAAACATTTATAATGTCAGACCATTTAACAATCCAACTATCATTCGTCTTGTCAATAATTTAAGTCGCACATACGAGAAAAATCGTAAACATCATCTAAAATTACCCTAATAATTATATTACATGCCTACATGAAATTTTCAAGGGAGCAGAAATTCAAATAAATTTAATAAATTACATAGATTTTTCAGACGGTGGTAAATAAAATTTTAAGGAAAATCGTCACAACATTTTTAAACGGCTGATATACCGCGAGGTACCCGTGAAGTACACTTCCATAAATATTACCACAACATATATAAAGCCGCAGGCTCGCGAACTCTTTTTTGTCGAGAGTGCGTCTTTGAAGACATTTTTTAATAATGTCTCCTTTGGAGATTAGAGATTACGAAGCCTCAAAGTCATACGCTTGGAGGCAAGATTTAGCACAGGAAATTTTGCTCTCGCTCGCTCAAGCAGTCAGTTTTATGACAGCGGAAGATGTAACTTGAACTCACTCTCTACTGTGCCGCTTTATTGATACTTGTTGGTGAAATTTCTTTTCTGAGAAATTTTCGTATTGGTTATTTTAAAAATCTTTTTTATTTTGATGTATTTGAATGAATTATATGAGCTTTTTTAAGCAATTCAGGTTAGGAGAGTGAACCATTCTTTCAGTATACATTAACGCTGTTTGGATGACTTTTCAATACCAATAAATTAGTAACATGTGACGGCTTTGAAACAGAATACTTCATTCTTCAATTAATATCGTACATGTAAAATTGAAAAACTTTTTAGTTAAAACTAAATCGTACTTGTTTTATTTAGATCCACTGTTTCATCAATACTGCTTTTATTTGATAAAAAAACATTTTAATAATATAGGTAACAATATCAGTTGAATATGACAATTGACACGACAAAAAATATCTGAAAACACTTAAATCCATTTAGATTTATTTAAAGATGTGATTCTTTTTGCTCGACGTCTACATTTTTTTCTACTCGTTTGTATCTGTGTTCCAGAAAATCATTACATGGGCAAAAATAACGACCGCGCTTATTTTTCTTTCAAGCAAGAGAGAAAGAGAAAGATAAATCTTTGACGGCCGCTAAGTGTCAAAGTCGTCACTATGTCGTGGCGCGTTGCATGAATATAGGTGACAATAGATGAGACAAATGAACGAGTCAGTTGTTGTGAATGCTACTTTGATTTTTTCAAATGAGATTTCATTTTATTTATAACAATTTTTTTATATTTATCGAATTTTAATCATTTTTTACGTAAATGACGAAAATAATTAAAATCCGATCTGAAAAGAAAGACGATTTTACGCAAAGTTTGTAGAATTCACATTTGTGTTAATTCAAGTTTTGCATTTATAGATTTACAAGTTAAATCTCCAATTATTTTTAACTAACATGATGTACAACTTAGTATTTTTGAAATTTCAAAAGACAATGTAGCTACATTATTTCAAGTTAAAAATAATGCAATGTCTTCATTATATATTTTAGCAAGTTCGCGTTATTTGTGTTGTGTAACCTCGTTTAATAAGCCTGTTTTCTAAAAAAAAGTATTTTTATATATATATTTAATTTTTTCCATCTACGATGACACTGTTACCTAATAATTGTCACTCGAATAATTAGCTTTTTAACGTTGTCGCGTACAACGGAATACACCAATTATTTAGCGGCAAAGAGGAAAAGAAAAAGTTACCCAACTCAACAGATCATTCTTAGTCTGGTTAGTGCGATTGATGTACAATTTGTTTTCAAAGACGCCTCGAGCGCCCATCGAATTTCCAGGAAAGCTGCATTTGAAGCACGAGCGCGCGGCTCGTTTTTATCCACCGATAAATCCTGTGACCTACAAGTGCCGAGAAAAACTTTTATACCTGTCGCCGTAAAGTCGATAGTTAAAGACCAATGAGAAAAAATAAAAACAATCTTTTTCGATGGCATTAGTTATTAATATTTTTTTCACATCTCGTTTTTCCTAAGGAAAAAAACTAGAACGCGCGTGATTATAATATTGCAACGAGGCAGATGAATACACACATATCCACGTGAATGTTTCTCATTTTTTTTTTTACACTGGAGACTTTTCAGATGACTCATCGGCTCATAAAAGATGTTGTCCTGTTTAATTATTCACAGACAGATGAATAATCTTGTTATAAGTATAAAGTTTTTATATGAAATACTTCTTAGGCATTGAACAGTACACTTTCCCAAAAATATTTAGCAAATCATGTATTACAGAAAAAGTTATACTTGGACTACCCTCCAAGAAAAAAATGTTAGCAAACCGTCCCCCAAAAGTCTTAGTAGTCTCTTCCGTATAAAACAACGCACTTTCCCCTCGTAATAGAGGCAAAAAAGAGAGAAAACAAAGTATTCCGGAACAGTAAGCTCGCAAAAAAGTAGGCGTAGATAAAGTTGCGGCGTGAGAGGGCGTCAAATAAGAAGAACGTGCGAGATTACGACGATAAATTTTTTCTAGTAGACCCTTGGCGTATTTTTTTTTCCATGCTAGAGTAAGTTTAGTATGTCTGGAAGTGATGTGACTGAAGAATTTTTTTTTTTCGTAGTTTTTCTTTATTGATTTGATTGAAAATTCGTTATAACCACATGGATGAATAAATTAAAGTGAAAAAAATTCTGTGTAACTTGATTTTCATCAATAGGGTTTCGCCTGAAAATGGCTTTCTTGAAAAGGTTCTTGCCGAGATATTCTCCATTGACTAGTGTACATTAGAAAATCATACAATTCTCATATATTTAACTAAAAGTTTTTAAATAATGTGCTTTCTTAAAATATACAGTAAGCGACACAGAAATATTTTGTCAGTTACGCGCAATCTCGTTGATCGAATGGCTATGTAATAATAAAATACAAATACTATTGAAAATTGTCCTTCGCGTTTCGCGAGCGCGTGTCACACATTTTATAACCCACTGATTTCAACGTCAAAAATGTGTTCACCCTCTTTGATACTTTTTTGAATAAAAACAATTATAGCAGCGAAAACTGCTGCGACCTCTTGAATGTCAAAAAATGGAATAGTCGTATGACCTATATCAGGGATAAAGTTGGATGTTGCTTGCTCGAGAGGCACCATGTAGCCTAGTTGAAAGGTGACAGACGTAATCAGTATTGTTAACACGTTACAATCGTCTGCGTTCCTTTTTCAACTAACATTTTTATAATAGTTATTTATTTCCAACTGATCACGTATTGTGTTAAGAATACGGCTTCAGTATAATTATGCAGTATTGTGATAAAGTGATCTAATTTCCACAATGTTGAAATCACCGTCCGATATGGGTGTAAATTTTGAAAGTACTATTATAATGTGTCTCTTGTAGTCTTTCATTGATCCACCTAAAAACAATTCTCTCTAATTACACAATGTAAAAATTCAAAGGTCATCAGCGTTTATAGTAATTTGTTTCTTTCTTTGCTATCTTTTCTTTTTGTTTATGTGTAGAATGATCCATTCTCTTCAATGAGTATAATGTTGAAATTTATTAAAGATAATTATTACATTTTGTCGAAAAAGTTTTTCAAATATGACAATTCACACATTCATTATTAGTTGGAGCTGTTGTTGCATTGAACCGGCCACTGATACGATCAATGTGATCTCAATTTACATGTACAGATCTCGCGTATTCCTGCTGCCAAAGTCTGCAATTGAATTTCTGCCATTGTAGTCTCATACATCATAGAATTCAGGAAGATCATTATTTTTTCTGGAATTGAGGATTTTATAATGAAGTATCAACGTTCACAAAGTATGAATTTTGAAAACTAAGAAATGAATTGTCAAGCAGATGTGCGTTATATAGCTAGTAAAATTGTGCAAATGTAGTCTTCACATTCTCGTAGCTGGTTGCCGTTGGTACGTTCGTAACTGAATATTCGTTAATATTAGCGGATTTCGTTATTTACGTATGAATTATTATTATAAGCACATGAAAAATCTTTTTTTAGTAAAATCATAATTACTTCAACGAAGAGTAGACTATACGGCCTCTCGTTAATTTCATGATCATTAATATTCTGTTAATTAACATTTTATTTTTTCAAAAAAGTTTTGCAAATTTAATGCAAGCTTCCTCTTTAATATGACAGTATTCCAACGTGAAACATTAATCGAAAACCACGAAATATATTGGCTCATATTCTCCAACTTGTCAAGAAGTAATACTTGAGAAAAAATGAAACGCTTTCTCTGTTTTTGTGGCGAAAGTTATTAGACAGCAGCATGTATCAACTTGAAAAAATATTATTAAAGTCGTAACCAACTGTATAAAAAGTTTTAAATACATGGTGGTGTTAATTGAGTTGTAAATTTTTTATGCAACAATGTAAGTTTGTGAGTTTACAAAATTTTCGATTTCAACTGAGTTTTTATAAATAAATTTAAGGTTGGAAAATATCCAGAGTAACGAACGTTCCGAATTATGTTATCGAACGTAATATAAAAAGTATAAATTATTCACTTTATTATTGTCATAAAATAAGTGAAACTTTAAAAGATACTACAATTTTCTTCATATCAGAGCTTATTTTTTAAACAGTTTTTAGTTCAAGTCTATTATACAAAATGCATTTATATTTTACATAATAAAGCAAAATCAGAATTGAAATTATGCATGCGAGTATAAAAAAATCATTTATAATACTGTGGCATACGCGTATTGAAAAAAAAATCGTTTTCTAGCGCGAAACTTAAGTATACCTTTAGTTGTTATAAGAATAGTTTATAATATCAGAGAATATGTGCGATGAAATATTTACTTTTAAACGATAATTTTCTCTTCTTCACTTGTAATTGCAGATACAAAAGACTTTTTAACGAGGGAATTTCATTTAGCTCTTAATTATGCCTTATATTTCACTAAAGAATTCCCTCCATTGCTTGCTGCATAACTTTGAATAATTTGCTTAAATTAAATATCCTAGCCAGAGTATGTTCCACCATTAACTAAGGGGTCATTCAAATTTCTTTTATATAAATGATCCATATATGTATATTTTCACGCGGTTTAAATAGATAATTGTATAAGAAAGACTATATTTTCAATCTAAGTAATAATCGTTTGTGAATCTAATAATATACTGTTAGCCAGCTTACTTGATTTTCCTATATCATTAGTAGCTTTAAAAGTCTGTTTTATGATATCATAAATAGTAGACATATGCAGTGGGCATGGCGATTATGAGATAATCTGTACACGTTAAAATTGCTAGTGGTTGCATAATGACTATAACGCGGAATATTGTTCCACAAAATTACAATAAGTTAATCTCGTATAAGAAAGTCAAATACTTCGGGAGTCAAAATATTTTCATGAGATTTTTTCTAACTTTATTTATTAGTTAATAAGCTTCATCAAAATACGATAAGTTCACATACTAAATAAGTTTCCTTGTTTCCTTTGATTAATTTCATGTTTGACGAGTACTTCTTTTATTGATATCAAACGATATAACAACTATTATTAATAAATAAAATCGATATGTAAGGAGAAAAATGTAAATAAAAATTCTGGCTGAGTTTCATCAAGATTTTATAATTTTTTCTTTCAACGTTTGTTTCATTTGATTTCAACAATTTACTTGTAAAATAAGTTATTCGTTGAATAATCCATTTCATTATTTCGGATAAGTCACGCATGTGCTGTTGATAATCTCTTATAATTTGTTTTATTCGTCAAGTTTTGCTATAGTTACTATACAAAAACAAATCCATAAATCCTTTTCATTACTTTATACATAATTCTGTTGTATTGCAGGGTAACTTCAATCAGAAGTTTCTGTATTTTCGAAATTTCAATAAGAGTATTGAGTTGCGCTTTTCAAGTGTACCAGTTAGCTTATCCTGCACAACAAAAGCTCTTTGGCGAAAACTACTGTGATGGATATAAAATACCCGAATTTTATTTGAATAAAATTCAACTGGAAGTTCTTTGAAGTGTATTTCAGTGGTCTTCAGCTCAAGAATACGTGACATTTTCTATTCACGTGCTATTCAAACAATAGAGTAGGAAATATAAGCGTATAAATCGCGCTTGAACAAAAAAAAATTATTCCCCCCCCCCCCCCAAATATTATATTTAGTCATCTAAAATTAACTTCATTTCACTCCTGAAGAAACAAAAATTATTCATTTCACATCGTACTTTCATAATCCAATCGAGTCAACTAGTGACTAATAAGGTTTGACCAAAGTCTTTTAGTATCGGGTGCGTGGAGAAAGGTTAATTTCGAATGTGCATAAATCGATTGGTGGAGTGAGTTTAGCCGCAGCCAAGCGGGAGCGATACCTAGTTGTGCACACAATCCCAACCCCTTACCCGTTGATTTCTTTTTTTGCACATTTGACTGGAAATTTGGGCGGAGTGAAATCGCGTGTTCGTAGCTCGATAAACGACTGGATGTTTTTCTCTGGGAAATGCTTTTACCCCCTTGTTTCCATGAATATTTCATGCAGGTAACAAGCTTTCCGTCGATAATTATGATTACATTGTTTGAAATATTTGAGAAGAAACATAATATCTTATCGAATTCTAACTTTATTAACGGAACTATAATGAACAGAGTTTTTTTTTTATTATACATAGTCTAGCATTTTATTTTAAAAGTTTCTGTAACTCGATTATTTTATCTTCTTCTTTCAGTTACTTGGCACTTCTTTTCTCTTCTTTACAGAACACAACGCTTTATTTATTGGGGCAAATGCTTTCAAATGTAAGTAATTTAAAAAAAAAGTATCAAACACTTTTCTTAACATTCAATGATACTGCATTGAAGTACGTTCGATTCATATATTACAGAAGAAAAGCTGCTTTGACATAATTTTTCTCCTGTATCTCCAAGATATTTCTCACCAACAATGGCAAATGTTATTAAGTTCGATAAATCCTCTTAGTGAAAAGTTTTCTCGAAGGCATTTTTCGCTGCAATTGCGAAATGTAAAAGCGTGCATCGCGTTCAAAACCCATAAGCGAAACTTACATTCGACCGTTCTATACCTCTGACACACGAAAAAGTGCGTTTGAAAAAATCATGCAAATTGCCCTCGCAGTACACGTTCGATCGTGCACGAAAAAAGCAAAATAATAATTCAGCGTGCGCTATCTCGCATTTCCTTTCAGAAGCTTCTTCCATCCCTTCCTCATTACTTAGCCATCCATTCTCGCACAAACAAAGGTGCAAAGTGAGATATATATATATTCGAGTGACTTATAGGAGGAGAGAAGGCGTCGGCCTTTCATCTCTTGCTCTCCTGTGCTTGCGTGTCCCAGTTATCGACGTGTCGGTCCCCGGCTTGGTGTGCATACGATGCTCGATAATTCAGTTGCGATGTACATGCAACCTCTATAGGTATACGCGATTGAAATGCTAGGTCACGTGTATGCCTATGATTTCACATCGTTATGGCGATTTACCATGTCTAACGAGATTTTATTGAAAAATCGTTAGGCGAAGAATGCGGCCGGGAAAGGATTTTTCTTTTAATATAAACGTCTAGCAACTTGGTGTCTTGTTGAAAATTTAGCGTTGGCTGTAAGCGCAGTAATAAGATTTTTTCCGCTTGTATGAAAAGTGTCGCTTCCTTTATTAAGCGTAAATAATTGTGTGTTCTTAAAAAAGGAAATTAATGTGAGACACAATGTTCGGAATTAGAAAGAAAGGCGGAAATCAAGACTCGAATGTTTTTAAATACGAATCGTGTGCCGTTATTAAAAATTTAAGTTAATAAATGTGCAAAAGTATTTATAATGAATTGCGTTCAAGAAAACAATTGTGGAGAACCTAATTACACAAGCAGTAGAGTCGTCAAAGCCCGCAATGGAACAAAACCTCTAATTTCACTGAACAATACAATTCAACTATGTACGAAAAAGGAATTAAAAATTAGTTCGAACAAGAAAAGCAGAGTAGGGTTAGCCGTAAGAAAGAAGTTCTAGCTGAAATAAAAGTAAATAAAAAACTGTGTTATGACTTAAATTCTTTTTTGTTATTAAAAGGGTTCACTAAGCTCTCTCTCTCTCTCTCTTCATCTCACATTGAAATTTTAAGGACAAGCAAAAGAGCTGTTTCATTGTAGTGAACCGCATCTGTGGAGGGTGGAAAACACTAAATTATAAATGGAAATGTTATCTATAGCGCTACTTTCTTTCAACCACATAAACCTTTCTGTGGGAATAAATAAACTTCCATTATTTAGCGCCATATAAATCTTATATGCAAGGGAAAAGGAAATCGAAGTACTGTGTCAAAGAGAAAAGGCATCACACACTGAGTGATCACTACACCCAAGCTAAAAAGACGCAAAAGCCGCACGCTATTGGCACGATTCCATCGACGACAGAGCTAAGTTCTTGATTTCACTCTCTTTCTCCACCCATTTGATATTACGTTGCTATATAGAGAAGGTTACAGGAAAATTCTTGCGTACGACGACACATTCTTACGTATAAATATAGCATGTGATTTTGAATGGTCGGCTTGTGAAGATTCGCTCCATACAGTGTGTACTCCGATATTGTTCGCTCTCTCTCTCTCTCTTTCTCTCTAGTTTCATAAAATTTCTATAGCGTGTTTCCGCTATGGTTATTCTCACCCTCCCCCCCCCCCCCCGCTTTTTATGATTGTTATTGTAATTTCGATATGGCTTCTCTCTGTGCATACTATTGTGAAATACATACGTTTAGATAGTTTTTGTTTTTTCTATATTTGAACTATTGAGACATGGTAATATTATGCAAATTAACAATAGGAATGTTATATGGAACGTAATAACCTTATTCTGCAGTAATTTTTATTAAACTAATAATACACTCAATACACTTTGGAGTGGAATAATATTGTTTGATACGTGTTTTAATAAAATAATGTGAATTTTTTACGAAAATAATGAAACATTATAGGAATAAAATATTTGGCAAAGCAAAATTTAAAATAAGTGAAACGACGAATATTTCAGTTAACAATGAAAATATCGTTTTCCGGTAATAAAAAAGAACATATTTAACAAAGTATCAAATAAAAAATATCCGGAAATAGTTAGTCCTTGAATGAAAATTCTCATGTAACTCACTGCAAAAAAAAAAAAAACTTAGTATTCCACGCGCTATAGACTTGCAAAATATTTGTCACGCATTTCTTTTCAAAACCAGCAGCATTTCACTCCATTCGTCTATTGAAATGAATTCACGTGGAAAAAAGAATCTCTCTGACAAAAAAAATCGTAAAACGGGCCCTTTTCATGTGACTATATAGTTGAGAATTTGGGTCAACGTTCAAGTCCTTGAAAGCTTGTGCACTTACGTAAAAGTCGCGTCGTCGCTTAGACTTTAATTAGACCGAAGCAGAGCTTTTCCGTACTTGTGTGTTGTGTTAGAGCCAGTTTTTGTCTTCTCAAGCTCATATATGACAAGATGAAAAGATTTGAGTGAGTCGACATATATTCGCGTGATTTCTATCTTACGCGAGCTTTCATATATTTTTCTCTTCTAATAATAATTACTGTTGTGTGCAAAGAAAATCCAATGACGTTTGCAATTGTAGTTTCATTTCATCTTGTGAACGAAGGTAATTTTCCTTGACAAACAAAATTTAGATTTGCCCGAGTGTTATTTGGAATTGCAATTAGTTATTTGGAAGACCACTTTGATACAACGTTGCGCGCTTGTTTTAATTAGTTTCTCCGTTGCTGCTTATAATTTCCTGCATATCGATTTCATTCGCTCGACGTAGCAGCAACACTCATACTCAAGTTTTATGAATTTAATTTTCCATTTCACGAAGCACTATTGTGATTTGGAGTAAATTGAGTATTTGGCACATTCACAAATTACTTACATCTATACGAACTATACGAATTAAACTGCGCAAACTCTCTCGTTCTCGCACCGAGACTAAACTCGTTTCATTTCATTGGAGCACGTGGCGAAGAGTTGACTACAAGTTCAATCCTTGAGCTTGCGAAGTCGATAATTAATTAAAAGTTAGAAAAAGAAATTAGCAATCTCTTGATCATTGGAACAGCGTGTTTGGAATAGTGGACGGATGTGTTAGTTTCTTTTTTTAACTTTACGAGTAATAGTGTATTGATTCTTAGATGGTATCAATCTAACCTTTTATGATCTTGACTGATAGTTGTTTATTGTTGTATTTACATTGTACGTATTTTAACTGTAGTAATAGCAAAACATGCAATTATTGATTTGCTTAAAATATATAAAGTAAAAAGTTATAATTTTTTTTATACCAATTACTTCACTTCTTACTTTTTCAGTATTATTATTCAATTGTACTCTTATTCACTTTTAACAAGGTTCTTGCTATTTATTTAATCGACGGATTTCTTTTCTTTAACAAATAATTTTGGAGTAAAAATTTAAGTAATTTTTATAGCGATAATTCTTTTGAATATACTTAATTTGAATATACTCGATTCAAATAAAACTTGTTCCAATGTTTGATTAACATAGATTTTTCATAATAATAGATGAATAATTAAATACTTTAGACAACCTTTCATATATAATTCGCTAACTACAGAGACATTCAAATTATTTATCAATTCACGTTTTATATTAAAAAATGCCATGAGATCTTTTCAGTATGAAAAATGTGGTAACTTAATTTTCATTCATCAATAAACTAGTAAGTTTTTGTATTAAAAAATTAATTTTCTATCAATTTTTCAGTAGTATCTCTGAACTATAAAAATGTAATTAGTTTTTCTAAATTCATTAACATGTAATTGAATTACAAACCACCAATCAGGACTACAACAATATAAGTCAAATGAAGCTGTAAATAATAATAAAAATCAATTCATAACACCTATTTAATACATCTAAAGCACGCCAACGAAAGAATTGAATTCAATCGATTGGCCTTAATGAACGAGAGCGAGAGCTCGAAGCTCTTTGCGCGAGTGATTAGCTTCAGCTTTCTTGATTAGCAGTATATAAAGATACCAGATTACGTGCGAGCTGCGTTCTCTTGTCTGAAGATAAAAAAGGATACAATGAAGGCTCCGATTATTTCCTAAGGGTTTTAATTCGGACTGTTACGCCAATTAATTTTTATGATTATATTTCTTCTCAGAGGAAACTATGTTACGCGAGAGGAATCGCTTATTCAAAATCACGCCAGGTAAAATTTATCGTCTAACAAATACAATCTTGTTATAAACTTTGCTTAATAAACGAACGTCACTCTTCATTTTTCCAAACAGACATAAAAGCGAAAAAAATGAAATACGTGAAACCAAAAAAGAATTTATTATTGTATCAAAATGACGTAGAAAAGCGTAAAGGAGCAGATAACCTCCGTGTCGTTTGATTTATCTTACTTCTCGTAGAATAAGCTCTCAGTAGCGGTAGATCTAAAGAATATAAAAAAATGTTCCTTTAAGAAACTTGAAAGCAAGTTTTAAACTAGTTTAAGAACGAATGATGAAGAGGTACGCTAGTATGCAATTGACTCCGCCATTCATTCGCCTTCTTTTACCATAATACTTTTTGTCTAAAGAGAGTTCTCTGAAGATATTCGGCAGGAAGATTTTTAACTGTACTTGTCGTTGCCTGTCTTTCTCTCGCGGCTGATATCGATTTGATAGAAGTCTATGTTGATGGAAAGAAAGTAGGAGAGAAAGAGAGAGAGTACCAAACCTAAAAGTCTCGACGCCGTGGAAAATACCTGAATTTTATATTAATTTCAAATAAAGTCTCAGCGCAGACGCGGATGTGTGTATTTTTTTATGTAATTTGAGATAGTAGAAAAACTCTCTCTCTCTCTCTCTCTTTCTCTCTCTCTCGGGTATATGTTAGATAGAACTAGCGAATTTACACGCTATCAATGAATTAAAGTGTTGTCTTTGGCCTAGTGATCGAACTCACACGATCACGCGTTTTTTGCACGCAATTTTCGATGCGATTGTGAACATATTTAATGATATTGTGAATATCAATTACTTCGTATATTAGTGAATGGAATAACTTACGATATTATAATTAGTAACTTTACACCTACGTACCGTTAAAAAATCACGTTTTGTTTCCCCGAATAGTTAATTGTATATCAAAAAAATCTTTTTCGATGTTGTATTTCTTAACAACATTTTTTTTTAATGAAACAAATTGTTCTGAAATTTATTTTGTAAGTTTGTTGAATTTACGAATGTTTATTTTCTCTGATTAAAAAAAGCGTCTTCTTTTATAGATGTTGTTCTTTTGTGTTAATCGATATGACAATCGTATCTCTTAATGATTCATAATTGATTCTACGACTGAAAGTAAAGACAATTAAATTGCAGAACCTTTCCCAGTAATCTATCGTTTACATTCTTAAAAATGACTAATCCAACAATGTATGTATTTAATTTATATTTGATATTTCTATTTGCAGCGGTGAGAAGTATTAGAGAGGCAAAATGGCTTCGGGCTTTCCAAGCTCTCATCAGAGAAAGCTTGGCCCGGCGCCGTTTGCATCGTTCGAGGACCTCTCAGACGAGCACGAGAACGTAAGTCACGTCAAACTAGTGTGTAGACTTTACTATCTATTGTTGTCAGGCATGCAAATGCCCTGACGCCAGGGGGATTATACGACCCCAGGGTTTGGTTTCTCAACGGAATCAGATATTTTTCTTTCTTTTGTTACAAGTCAGCATCCTTTTTTATTTTATTAAATAAAATTTAATGAGTAATCCTTTTGTAGCAAAAAGCAAGATCTGTGAAAATCGAGCACGAGGTAAAATGCTATATCATGAATAATGAGTAATGTAACACCAACAAAACTTTCGAAAAATTTATGTCAGTTCGCTTGGTGAAGGTGAAGTTCTTTTTAGAAAATTAAACAACGATAGTACCAAATTCGATTTTTACTTGAACAGTTTATCAGTTATAAGCGCTTGCTCTTTGTAATAAAATAAATGGAATATTGTGAAAAAATGTATGGACCTACTCAATCGAGACGACCAATTTAAAAAGAGAAAAAATTCCCATTTCTAGAAAAATCTTTCATTTAACACTCAAGAAAGTTGGGGTGGAAAAGTCGATACGGAAACTGCCAAAGAAAGAAAACACATACGAAGGAGAAAAACGTGGGGAAAAGTAATTTTTAAAGAGGGTCATTGAAAGTCGTTACATACACACACTTTCCCCGTGGGTGGCTATTTAAACTTTTATCCAAAGTGACGGTACAACTTTCCGAAATAAAATCGATAACATTCAATTCTATTTTTCTAGAAGAAACTTTAAATCACGCTAATCGAAATACATCACTTATCATCGACGTTGACCCTCTTGAAGTTTTAATAATCCTGATGACGACACACTGACCTCACTTGCAAAATTACTGTTTGCACTTAATATAAATGTGTTTGTATAACTTGATCAATCGTTTCGTCGCTATCTACAGATTTTCTCTTTCGATTAATAAATATATAATTAATTTTTTAATGAGAACTCCTTTGCTCAATTGTAGCTCCTTCCAGCTGTCGCGAAAGACAATATGGCTGGATGAAACGAGAATGTATATAATGGAGTCACGATGAAATTACTTGTGATTTTCTCCATCATGTTGTGAGAATATAAGCGACTAGCCTTGCTGTATAAAATGACTGAAGGAATCTCAAAATTAACTAATCTATGAAAAAGAAGTTTCATTGAAAAATTTTATGTATTAACTTTCTGTAAACGAATGAAATAGAGAGCTTCAGAGTTCAATTGTTTATTCTACTTTTTGAAAAAAGTGTACCTAAAAAATGCATCACCCAGAAATGTACCTGTAAGCATTTAAAATTCAAAGAAAAAAAACTAACTCGATTACTTTGGTCTGACAGCGCAGCATCCTCGGCCAGAAGAAAAATCATTAAATTATTAATAACCGCATCGTCGCAGATGAAAGTCCTTCGACTTGTGCGTCTATAATTGTCCGCGTCTCGCGCTTGCGCATTCGTATAGCACACAAAGTATTTGTGTAACAGTATGCGTGTAATTTATCCAGTTTTCTTTGTAGGGCGGCGGAGAGGCAGCTCAGGTAGCGCGAATGCCGGGCATAGTAGAGGTGACGACGCCAGTGACACCGGCGAACACGCTTAAAACACCAAGTACGCCGCGCATCGATATCAGTCGTGCGAGCAGTTCCTCTCATCACGAGGAAGACAGTAATTCGCACGAGTCCACACCCGAGAAGGAATTACTCGCCGGTGAGTTTTATATGATGCACATTGTAACTTAACTGTTGAGTGTCACGTGCAGTTGTTGTTGAGTGCGGTTATAATATGGACAATCAAAAGTGATTCACTGACTGAATCATGCCAGGTGAGTACGTTTTCGAGATTTTTCGAGCTTCATTTTCACTTTCGATTAATTATCCTTTTAATTGTAATTCAGATTTATCAAGACATAGCATGTAATTTGAATAGTTTTTCACAGTGCCAACTTTTTAGTTAACCAAACTTTTAGTTTGAAAAGTAGATCAAGACATTTAGGTCAGGATGAATTTCAGATTGGTTCAATAGTTTTGCAATTAAATTTCGTATAGCTGGCCTACTTTCTACGTGTACATTATAATGCGACTTGTAGCTTGTAAAGTTCTTCCGCTCGCATTGCCTACTTCATTTTTCTTTTTTTTTTCATCAATGTATCCTTGAAATAAATATTCTTCAATTTTAGTCGTTTTGATAAATCAATAACTTACACTCGTAAGATCTGTTTCAAAGGATAGGAAAAAATGAAGTTCAGTTCCTGCATAAAAATATCTATTGTAGACACGTGGGAAGACAGAAATATATCTTATAAATTCTGCAACTTCATCACACTTATTTACATCCATTTTGTCACTCGCCTAAACTTCTATGATGTTATAACTCGAGACATTTTGCGTTACAGCTTTAAGCCATTAACACTTTTTTCAGAGTTTACTTAACTTCTGTAATTTCATTGGCGCAACTTTGGCAAAATTCAATTATAAACACGTGCGTGCACGACGATGAACCAATCAGCGACATTTTCCCACACAATCGATAAGCTGTTCTCTCGAATTTTAGTCACTTTTATTAGAAATAAAAAAGTTAATATCGATTGAGTTACGTCATATCTAACTAATTGATGTTCATGCTGCGAAGTTAATAAAGGAACTTTTTATCGATTATTATTAAAAGCTTCATTGTTATTGATCTAAAGGTAGCGGAGAATTCGTTGAAATTTTTTTCGAATAGTTTATAAAAGTAAATTACTTGTAAATTTTGATCCAATGAAAACTTCGACAGAACCAAATTCTTTTTTTTTTAATTTGAAAATCTATGTTCAGGTACACCACCCCCAGAAGGATGTACACTTCAACTGGGTTACAAAGAGGACGTGAACGATTTACGTTCATCCACGGAAGAATTAGATCTTCAAGACCCAGTCCACCAGCAGGATTTAAAGCGAGAGGCCAAGCGAGCACGTCGACGAGCGAAAGATTTTCACGACGGTACGCAATCCGAGCATGGAATTAGTATCAAAGTGTCAGGCGATCGCGAGCGCAAGGATAGTAATTGTAGCGAGATAATATTGCTGAACATCAGTGGAAGAACATCGAGATTGTCGTCAGTTGGGAGTCAGGGTTCCGGTGTATCTGGTGGGCTATCAGTCTCAGCAGCCTCGTCCAGGTAAAACTTTGAATCTCTCATGTTCGATGAAAAGGAAAACTGAGCGTTCGATTCGTATCTGTCAGATCTCCAAGTCCACACAAATGTCTGCTGGAGACGTCGTTCTGCGGTAGTGTGTCGACCCTCGCGAGTACGTTAATCGAACCGTCCAAACCAGAGACGGATGACTTGGCAAAGTTACTTTTGCAACGAGAAGAGGATTCAACGCGTGCTATGATACCCGAAAGCGTTCGTGTACCTGTGGTCGGTGGTAATCTGAAACCTGACCAATTGGATATGCCACGTAGACTTGGTCGCGAGGAGCGCAAGGAGATCTTCAAACGCGAGGTCGAAATCACCAAGAAGGTACTCAAGAGAGTCAACATTGAGGTGAGCAAGCGAATGCGTGCTGTGTATTGCGCTATTGATTTTCCTACTGTCGAGAAATGTGATTTTGTCGACTTATTTGATGGATTTTATTCAGTACATTAATTCCTGCAAATGGTAGAATATTCAGGTTTTTGACAGGCTAATATTTTGCACAATAATTACGTTGATAAATTGAATGTGGAATGTGTAAACGGAGCTTTGAGAAAACGAATTTATCATCCGCAAGCAGAAATATTTTTTTGTTTTACGTGTCACAGGTGCCAATAATAAAGCTGCCGAAAGAGCCTGATGATGACTCGATACAAAAGCCAGCGACACTGGATTTGAACGACAGACGTAAGAGATCGCTAAGTTCAGCATCAACGTCATCTCGCGGTGGTGGCACTCTCGAGACCCCAAAGCAAAGTCAGCGTCATCAAAAGGTCCGTGATCTCGAGGGTTCGAGGACACCGAGTCCGTCTTCCGTCTCAAGAAAAAGTAGCTTTACATCGCTCTTCAAGGTACATATGTCCAACTGAGCAGATATATAAATATATAAATATTTCGCATACCCGTGGAAATTTAAAAATCTGATGTACCTGATATACATATATTGTTTTCAAAATCTTATAACATTGTATACTTGAAAGCCTTTTTCCCTATTATGCCCGATGTATTATTTTAGATCAAACTTTTCGATTGTTATCATATCGCTTATATGATAGTAAAATCCGTTGTTTATCACTTTTAAAAAAAGCTCTTCTTTGATTTTTTTTAAATGGAAGAGTCGAGAATATAATAGATATTATTATCTAATGAAAGATGTATCGTACAAAATTATGGTGCATTATAATACTTATTAAATATCTCTAAATATACAATTGTCAATGTTATTTTTGAGTGATATTCGCTATTTTCTATTAAAAATAAAATAGAAAACAATGTGTAATAATGCATAATGTGCAATAAAACTACAGAAAAAATTTAATAATGACATTTTACAAACATTTTAAAAATTTCGTTACTCCCTCACTTGATAAATTTCTGAAAAAATTCCAAAGGTAAGCATCATGATTAGCTTACTTATCAGATTTCAAGTAAAAGCGCTTGTTCATCGAAACCCCCTTAAGCTTTCCTCATCATAAATTATCATATTAACAATAATGAAAATCGAGAGGCAATATATCTTTTTGATTTGTTTTTAACAATAAGAGAGTTACATAGTATTGATAAAACCATCGTAGTGAGATTGCATATCAACAATTATGTCGTTGAATAGAATATATGCTTTTTGATCATTGATTAACGTTTTACAATTAAAATATTCATGAGTACTTTGCAGTATGAATAAAGAAACTAATAGAATTTGAGAGTCACACTACATCAATCGAATGATCAGTTTACTTTTGAGAAAATTTATTTTATTTTCTAACGATAATATCATTCATACAAGTACTGGAGATTTGGAAACCCCCTATTGCATATCAACATTTTTTATGTGAAATTTATGTAAAAGTGTTCGTATAAATACAACGTATGCTTTTGTATTATGTCTATGAACATGGCGTTTAAATTTTATACCTCCATTTTTTACACAAATTTCATGGAAAATCGTTGCTCTGGAGTGAAAAAAATTTAAACCCACGTTGAATTACGTGTTTGTGAAAATTTTTTTGATGATTCTTCAATTTTCGATCGGCTAAATCGGAATGTCATAATTATAGTTGTCCAATCTTTTATTAGAATTCTTTACTTCAAAGTATATCTGAGTAAAATAATAGTTTTTTGCACATGTAGAATCAAACACCGTAGCCATATATATGATAAGCTTCGATCACAGATTACAATTCAAATAAACAAAAAAAACCATTTGTTAGTCATTAGTGCGCATCTATGTGTTAGTGCACACTGTCTTTATTGTAAATTGTTACCTAGATATACGTTTGCGGTTTAAACATTGTAATATTGACGCATTCAGGACTGTAATATACATTAATCGATAACCTATTTCGAAACTTTTTTTAAAATGCCACTGCAATCCGTCAACTTTTTTCCAATTTCACAAAGTTCTATGCAACAGCAACTTATAAGGATATATCAAGAGATCGATCATTGAAGAATCCCTTTTGCATAGCTTACTCTTATTGTGACGAGGCTATCTCGACTAGCAATTATTTTGACATGGTAAATTTGATGTCTATATCAGATATATAGATTTTAAACGGATCAATAAATGTCATGTCTATCGAGTACTTTCGTTATTAGGTCGACTCGGAAATCATGATACTTACTTAAAAATTAATCGTAGTAAAGATAATAAAAGCTTGCAAAGTCATTTGATTAAGCTGTCAATCATGTGAATTAATTAAATTTTAAAAAGCATTGAACTTTTTTATCGGAATAATCTTGAACTTTATATCGGATTCAAGCATTTCGGAATTTTACGATAACTAGACGCATAACTTTAGCTGTACTCGGATTACCGTATTATCAACACATAACATATTAGTAATTGGAACATGTAAAAACTTTCACCATGCAATAGTTAAAATCACACTGCGAGCTCTATACAAGCAAAGCCATACTGATTTAAAATCAATATTAAACATCTGGGCAATACTCTTGGCTATCCGTCATGTAAATGAAATTTTAATATTTCGAATAGTAGTCGATACAGCTGACGTTACTTTTCTTATATCTCCTTTCTCCAAACTACTCACACACACACATACACACACAAAGACTAACTTAATTTTCTACGTTGAAACAAAAAAAAAGGGTCGAGCGGATGGAGCAAGTATTCAGAGCCAAGAATCACCAACGACTAGTTCGCGACGTACAAGTTTGGCAAGTCGATTGAAAGACACCGCCGATATTCTACGTAGCAGATCGAAAAGTCGAGAACGTGGCGACAAGTCACCAGGTGCTAGACGATCCAGTCGTGGTAGTGGTGTTTTCTCGTCGACGTTGAGTTTATTTAAGAAGAGGGAGAGAAAGAAGAGTGGAAGTAGTATTGGCACGCCGGACACTTTGGATCGATCCAGAGAGAATTTGGATGGGATTGGACATGATTATAATAATAGTTATAGTCTGACTAGTTATTATAGCCAACAGCAAACAGTAAGTTGAACATTAAAATTGTTAAGTTCATATTTTTGCAATCGTCCAAAAATATTACAGCCGAGGAAAAAGAACGAGGGCGACGTGATCTTCATAAGTCTGTACGGTGAGAACGACGAGTTTAGGTATAAAGATGAAACACCAGTGGACAGCACGTTACCTTCGGAGAGTATTACCTCGATACCTCTCGAGAGTGAACATCATCAGCAGCAGCATGAACAGCAACATCAATGTGAGAAATATGACGCGTCGAGTCCGCAACAAACTTCCGTTAATATCGTCTGTACTGATGCGACGATCGAACATCATCGCAGATCGGTGAGTATTTTTATGGTCAAATTACATATTAATATAAATACGTTCTCGATCACTACGGAAAAAATATATTAATATAAGGCATTTTTATTCTTAAAATGTAATGCAACATTAATTAATTACATAATAACGTAATTTTCTTTTATTTTCATATATTTTTTTAAAACGCAAGTAATTTATTCTTTCGGATTAAAAGTTTTTTTTTTACATCAAGAAATAATATTGAAATGAAGAGTTCAATATCTAATAGTTCTAAATCTAATACAAATTTTAAGAAATTATTTCTGCTCGAAATAAAAAATTTCTAAAAATAAGAAATTTTTGCTTCTTTGTTTCTTAAATTGACAAAAACTGATATTCAACACTGATACGTTGAAACTTTTTGAATATGAAGCAATATAATAAAAGTAGTACAAATATAAATTAGAGAGATATTTCATTTGCATCCAATAAGCCGATCATTCCAATCCTTACTTGAGCTTAAAAATAATATTGAATGTACTTTACGTTGCACTGATTAAATAAATAGGTCGCGTCGTAAGTAGCATAAGCACACGATATAGCCAGACACGCGAAAAACTCAATAAATAAGACCTAATTTATTTACGTTTGCATTTTGTCAGAGAATAAGAGATAGAAATAGTAAAGATAGCGCAAGAATCTCGTCGTCATCGGGTGAAAGCCCGAAAATACCGGAAAGCCGCTCGAGGGACTCGCACATATCAAGGAGCGAGTCGAGGGATTCGAAAGTCTTAGCTGATGATAGGTACGACGTCACTACTGTTACAGGGTAAGTCTCTCATTCTCTCCTTCTCTCTTATAATGAAAACATCACCGAGGCGAGTAAATACAGCTCGATAAATAGGCTTCTCAGTTCTGAAACTTGTACCTCTCTCTCAAAAGTGATATTGATGGGAGTCGAGTTTCGCGCATTGTGTACGAGTGCATCGGAATTATTAAGAAAGTACCAGCGCGAGTTCAAAAGTTCTCCCTAACTTTGCAAGCGGTGCCGAATGGCATATTACTTTTTGCATGCATATACAACTTGCAGCATAAAGGTTATACACTTTTTTTCCCAAACGTTCGTAATTCCTTCAAAATGCGCCACGTCGATATGTACAAATTTTCTCTATGCATTATTTGTTCTGTACATTTTGAACTTGATGGGAATCTTGACATACATATACGTGTATATGGAAATAAATGTACATTTTAATATAATGAAGCCGTTTAAAATAGAATTTGTTAGATTCTTTCGCTACTTCAAATAGCAGGGAAATATATTGCAAAGAAAAACATATAAATTCCTTATTTTATTATAAGTGTCTATAGGGTATACACATTGAACGGGATAAATTGAAATTCTTTTGTGCGAATTTTTCGCTGTTTGCATAGTATAAGTGCTATATATAGAGAGGAATATTTGAATACAAAGGAAATGCTTAACAGAGTCAGTTATCAAATTAATAAGGAAATAAAATTACAGTCATCAAACGCCATCGGATGAACAAACCCAACGTCTTTCAACCAGTTCATCACGCGACTCAATTGGTCGTAAACCTGACATCCCAAAACCAAAGCGCAAGAAGAAGCCAACCACACGACCGCCGCCACCTCCAGTTGATCAATTAACATCCACTACCACGAACAAACCAGAACTGAACGGTAAAATTCCAGTAGCACCAAGTCCTGTAAGCTGCGAACAATTGCAGCAACAGCAACATGACAGTTCGGAATCGGAAAGAGACTCAGAAACTGACTTTGTGAAAAGTAAAACCGTGGAAAAAGAAGTTGTTGCCGAGGAGTTGCCAGATGAGAGAAAAGGTCTTTGCTACGAGGAAAGTTTCGAGGAAGATTTACCCTACGTGCCCACAACGTTACCTCTTGAGAAGAGTGTAGCCATTCCAATACTGCCCATCAAGCAGCGTGTCATCCAGGAAGTCAGGTTAGCCTTTCAAAACGCAGAAATTCAAACTTTGCATTTCTCATTTCTTATTTTGATTGATAACAGAACGACGCCGATCGAAAGGCCACGTTCCACGACACCAATCAATCCAACGCTGCTTGACGAGTTCGTCCACACTTCGTCGTCGTCTCACGATGAGCAACAACGTCGCGTAGAAAAGATGCGGATATCGTTGCCACGCGACAGTGACGTGAGAGTTAAATCACCGCATCGTCCATTAACTGCTCAACACAGTTTCAGCGAGTTTGCCGGTCGTGTGCCAAGACTGAGTCGCGCCTTGAGTTTGACTAAGTCGCCAAGCCCACCTCCACCATTGCCACCACGAGCACCCACAACGGTGCTCACCACAGTGGCAACCAGGCCGCAAAACTGGATTAATTTCGAGGAAATACCCGAAAAGAGAAAAGCACCCAAGAGGATACAGACCATTCCGAGGCTTGAGGGTGAGCCTGGACATTCGCAGACTACTGCGACTACTACTGCCACGGTGAGATTTAACTCTATTTTCTCTTCTTATAGTTTTTTTTCCATTTCAAAGCTTAAGATTTGATATTTTAAGTTATAATACAATGAATAACACTAAAGCTAAACTATATTTTGATGATAATTATGATTGATGTCTAGAGACAAGTGACAGGTTGGGTAAACGAATAGAAATGCTTTAATAATGGCGTTTTTAAAAAGGTGAAATGACGATACTTTGACAATAAAAATAGTCAGAATTGATATATACGATTTTAAACATTTTTCGTAACTGAAATTATAAGGATTTTGAAAATAGGGGTTTATACCATTGACGAATATTATTTCTTTTTCTGAATGGCAATCAATTGAGTATTTTGTACGTCTCAATTGCTTACTCGAAAGCGTATAATCCATTTGAAATGCTATACTATTAGCGCATCAAATATCAAAAAGTTCGGAAAACCTTTGAAATTTGAACAAACATTTTATGAACGATGTTTAAATTAACTGCCTTTTCTACCTTCAAATCCAGTTCATTTAGTGAAATAACAATTGTTTCCTCACTTGAATATCTAGTAATTGTATTTATCATTTACCGATCCGAAAGTTTTGTGGGTCAGAGCATCTAAACTCGATGGCAGTAGCATTTGGCGTATAGAGAATCAATATAGGAAACTAGTTTTGTAAAAGATGACCTATGCTGAAACCGCAGATTAACTTGTGCCGATTCCAACGAGATTAATCTTCTCTGCAATGATAGAGGAAAATCGAGTAAAACTGATTTATAATTTTGCAACTGCTTTACACGAAGTTTTGGAAACAATTCGAGTTTTATTATTGAATGAATTTCGAAGTGAACTTTACGTGGTACCTATAGAATTGATCACGAGTTACTGAAATGTAAGCAAGCTATGAATTTGTTAATTAATCACAAGATAATCATTGTTTAGCCTCGTCTCTTGTAGTAAAAATCGCGGTAGCTTACCATACAATTCCTAATGTAACAATTCAATAGATCTTATACACTGTAAATTGATTACCTGTACGCATAGACTAATGCTGACTCTTTTGTTGACACAGTCATTGATGAATAGATTTAGTCGGAGCTATATATAATATGGTTCATATTTATAAATCATTCTGTGGATTTCTTTCGTAAAATAATCCTCTAATTTCTTATATCTCATTAAATATAGACACATGGATCATACGCGTTTCTTTAAAAGTGGCTTTCAATTGCAGGGCCAATATAGTTACGTTCAGCCTGAAGAATGTCGTTGCGAATGTCACGAAGAATCGCGACGAGCTTCATTGCATGGTCCACGGCAATCATCGTCTTCATCGACTGGTGGTAGTGGTAGTAAAAACGGCATGTGCAACGGCGAAAATTGTCAAAAAACAAGAGCTATCGAACTACCAACTGAATCAGCAGCGGTTTCGGGCGACAGGTCCAGTGTTGTCAGGTAACGAGCACGCAACGGGTCTCGAACCATTTTTCACTTCGCGGGGAAAGTTCTTTCTGTATTTTTGGTGCAATTCCTCCTTGTGATTCTCTCTTTCTCTCTCTCTTTCTCTCTCTCTCTCTCTCACACACATTTTAGTGCATATGTATAGACAATTTATTTGTGCATCTCATTTTTATTCTATGTAGTTTCGATTTTGATTGCTCTAAGGATTGTTCAAAAGGTTTTTGAAGAAAATATATATTTATTTTTGTTACATATTATTTGATTTACCAATTCCTTAAATTGTCAACAAAAAATATTTTATAAAGTATGTTTTGAAATCGGATTCATACGATATTTGTACATAAATTTATTAAGCATTTCTGAATGTTTAGAAATCACAGAATCATTTTTTGATGCAGCTAAACGATTAGAATTCTTAGAGCGTCAAATCGTGATCCATCATCTTTTTTCTCTTCAATCAACGTAGAAAACTTAGAAAAAAAGCATTGTAAAATAAGTTCATAAAAATTTCTTGTTCATTTAAAAAAATCTCTTGCCTAAGATTTTCCAATAAAATGTGAAAATGAATTCTATCAAAATATCAATCCTGTTCAATTTTAAGTTTATCATTTAACCATCAGTCATATAAATGTTATTTAATTGTATACAATATCTTCAAAGTAGTTACTATTGTACATAACAAAACAATAAATATGTGTTTGTAAAAAATGTTATTCAAGTGTCTCCGACAGAAAATGCCCCATTTACGTGACATTCAAGAAGAAACTTGTGAAATACATTTTTATTTTTGAAAATTCCAGAAAGATAAGATAAATCAAACAAAAGAAATTGCTTTCATATACGTGACTCAATCAAGATTTTATTTTCAAACGAATTGAAAGACTTTTGTTATGCGTGGAAAAATACAGCACTTGTGAAGATTCGAAAGTATGTTTAGCACGAGTGATATAACAGTAAAACAAACGGACTTGATACTGTAATATCAAGGATTTGTTCCAGTAATTTATTTTTAAATAGTGATGTAGATTATTTCACATAGCGAATTCGATTTTTGTAAAAGTAACACGTCATATTGCATGAAATTTGATGAAGTGAAGATTCACACATGTGACCGCATAGTAAAATAAAGTTCTTTTACAATATTGTTTTTTTATCAGAATCGAAAAGTAAAAAAATCCGACGGATTTATTGAGAGGCACTAAAAAACGAACTGTAAAAGAAGGTAATACAAGACGTGACACACTGAACAGAGAATGCCAACGACGTACAGTTTGTTGAATGTTATTCTTTTTTCAACGGAATCAAACAAAAAAATCCTTGTTCATCGGTAGTGTTTTATTTTATATTTAAAGTACTGCTCAGTCTAAACGAGAAATTTTTTCTTGTTGCATATATTAACTAAAGGAGAACCCCGCCTTCTCATTGTAAGTAACCGAAACAAAATAATCTTTCGTTAGTGAAACCAAAAAAGCATTCATCATCCATCAAAATAAATACAAAGCATCGAACCGACGCAACCACTTCATCGACATGCATGCACTTATAGAAGACTAGAAATTAATAAACAAAAGAAAAACGTTCGCAAAGGATATCAAATGACAGATCGCAATCATCATATGCATAATTTTGAAAACTTTCTCACTGAAAAATGGAGAAGGTCCCTTGCCAATGTTTGACATAGCGCGAAAAGTGAATGGGTTGCATGAGACAGTTACGAGTATAGCCGATTTAGAAATTTGTTTCTTTATTTCCAGTGATAACAGCTCGGAGGAGTGCAGCGAACACAGCAAATACACGACAACGGGACGCCACAGATCGGACAGTCGACCATTTGCAATGGACCTCGACGTGAGCAGCAACCGGTCTAGTATCATATCTCAAGACGAGACTGAAGACGACGAGCATTGACAAAGACGAGATCAATATAGAATTCCTAAATTCGAGAAACGTTTCGTTTTAATTATGATGATTATTTTTGGCGGCCAAGCGTGGATTTTGAAAGCAGTGGAATATTTTACAATATTAATGTAACTATCATTATGAAAAAATATTTAAGAATGTTTTGACCACGTCAAAATAAGCACCATCTCATACAGTAACTAAAAATTCATTTAACTTTCTGAAATTTAGAAAAATACGTTATATATAAACGACTGACCAATGAATTGATTTACGATTGTACATGATTACAATTAATTTGCATTGCTAAAAATATTGTAATATAATCCAATTAAAATCTTGATATTAACGAAAGTCGAATAAGTTTCTTGAATTTATGAATTTTTAGTATGTTGTTAATAATTGTAACTCGGATTTATAACTGAAAACACAGTCTGAAAAAAACAAAAGAACCCAAACATTTTAGAAATGTTTTACAATGTTTCTTGATTATACGATTTTGACGGTGTGTCCATTCATTATCAGTATTAAATATGAAATCAAATTGCTAGCTTTCGTGATGTCCGAAAAATCTAAAATCATTCGATTGTTAGTCGCAATACTGAAAAAAATGTAATTTTTAGGACTTGCGAATCGTTATTTTTTAGAGTTCGATGCGCTCATGGTGAAAATTTGTTTTTCCATTGTTGAAAAAGATTGTTAAATTTCTAATGTTGTAGTTTGGTACAGTTTCCAAAAATCATAAAGCATTGATCTATCAAAAAATACTGTACAAATAAAATGAATCGTCTTAAACTTGCCATCATCATATAAGTGTATCTGTCAAATTCTTTTCTCCGTATATGCGTTACTTGCATGACGAGTTTAATTTCCGAATTGAAAAAAACTGTAAAAATAAGAACACGAATAACCAATGGAAATGCGAATGTTAAAAAATGCCACACCATAGAAATATATAACTGACGTGAAAAATTTATCTGAAACTTGACCGCACATCGCTACTAGTTAAATATTCTATGACTAAAAGTGTAGTGTTATATATCGATAAGGTTATTAAGAAAAAATGAATTATTGTATAAGTTAAAAAAAGATCATTATTTTAATAATTTTTTGCTGTTGTTACTCCCGCAATGTGTATATACATACATGGATTATATAACGACGTGACACTGCAAACTCATACACACACATGCGCACACAAAACATATATATAATGGACTGACTTGCTATTATTGAACGTGAAAGAAACCTTACTAAAGAGACAAAGACAGAGTTTTAACATACAAGTACATAATATATTAAATATTAGGTAAACAAGCGAACCCTTATGCGATTATTTTCATCTTCTTTATTTGTAAATAGTCAATAACGGAAAATTCAAAATTGCATACAAACAGAAGATGAGAGAGACACACATTTTTCTTCTCCCTTTTTTGAAAATATTTTTATCTGAGAACTTTGTGAGCCATTAAAGTCAATTCTTTTTTTAGAACAATAGATAGATAAGATTTTAATAATTTTTTTCATACCTACCTTACATATACAATTGAACTATGTAATAAAATGATTAATATGATTAGTACACATATTCGATAAATTTAGATTACCGGAGCGCATTTAAAAAATAATCGAATTAACGTTTAGAAAATATGACACAAAAAATCAATCAAATCACCGTCTAAATGAAAAAATGCCGTTGAGTAAATGATTATAATAAATCTTAAATGTCACTCAATTTAGATATCATCTATATCATTGAAACTAACTTACAAATTGTTATAAAAAGCATAATAATGAAACTGTAAATTCCTTTTAGTATAAATCATTGTTAAATATTATGAGCCGAGAACTAGGAAGACTATAGTACAGAAAATTTGTATAAAATTCTTGGTTAGTTGTTACATCTACATCAGTTTTACTAAAGCCAAAAGGAATAAAAAACGCTTTTATAAAAATTTACAACTGAATACGTTTCAGATTTATCTCGATGATTTTACCTGCTTTTATAAAATTATGTAAAAAAGTTATTATAAAAAAGGTACACGTTACCATTTCCGCTATAAACTCAACGGCATGTTTTCAATATTTCATTTTTGGTCATCTTGGCCTTTAATTGTTGATAAAAATAAAAAAATCGGAAACTCGTATTAGAATAAACAGATGAGCATTTTTTCCAAAAATGGTTAAAACTCATTAGCTCAGTTATGGGCACCAACGAGAAACTACTGTGTTCAAACAATCTTCATGTAACAAAAAATGTCTAGACGTATCATAATAAAATGTGACTAGTCCTTCATTCTTAATCTTAATATATCACTGAACAATACCAGGTCAGATAAGTTGACCTTTTTATCTTAGCTTTCTATAACATTTAGTAAAAAAGTTAAAACAGTTCAAAATTTTCATTATTTTATATCGACTGGGTAATAAAATTTTCTTTATATATTCTATTGTAAGAGCAATATTAGTGATCGAAATTTTAATATAGTGTTTCGCTATTTGATCATTAGATTTTTACTGTATTATTATATTATCTCAATTAGTTTTACCACACTTCGGAATAAGACAAGACTGCCGGTAAAACAGTTACGTTATACTGAAAAAAATTTTTGAACTATATAAATCTACGCTAATCTCGAAGCGCATAAAACAATGATCTGAAATACATTTTTTATAAGTATTGGGTAGAAGTACAATTTCTTCGGATGATCTGTATAGTTTAAAAACAGTCGACTTTCTCTATGCAACGATGCTTCAGTGTAATGCGTAATCAATCCCATTTAGAATGCTTTGTAAAACGTGATTAGTTTTTTCGTAACGAGCGGTGTGTAATATTAATTGCTTGGACTGATAAACCTGTACAGATTAACTGTTCATACACATATAAAATCGATTTATTAAAGTATTCGTATAGAAATGTTTCATATAAATGATTAAATTTACTTGAGTAATAGACTACTTGAAATATCTTTACGTAATTTTACTCTATGACAAGAGACATTTTTTAGCTTAAGTCTTGAACATTATGAAAAAGTTAATTTTTATTCCCATACAATATGTAACAAATATTTTTTTCGTTAAAGAAGAAAAAAATTCATGTAAAATTTAATATTAAGATTTAAGGTAATTTTGATATAGCAAGTAAAATATCAAAAATCTTTAGATTTTTGCCAATAAATTATCATTTTGGAAATGAAACATTACAACCATTCATGTATAATTTAGGAAATAACGTAATATGTAAGATTGTGAGTTGAGTCTAAAGTTGATTTATAGTTATGTATCCAGCAAGAAGTAACGATAAAATAAGAGATGACAAATATTCACGTGTTACTTTGCTTGCTCTACTGGCAATATGAAACTAATCAGAACTGGTTTTATTATTGCATCTCGCAATTTATCAAAAACAAACTTAATTTATTGATAAAAGCAAAAGTGTCGCCAGTATTAGACGTAAAAGCAACCGAAAGATCTTGAAACAGAATGGATAAAGATGTTATAAGCAAAATTTTCAATATAACATAAATCAAAATGTTGTTGAAAATTTATTCGAAATAATATTCAAGTTATGAGAACCAATAAAATATCCAGTTTATGGAAAGTCTCTTAAAAGGATATGTTCGTAAGAAGAAAGAAAATGTAAATAGTGTATTGCGCTTGGTTAGTCCGTACACAACAACAAAAATTAAAAAGTGGCACGCGAGATGGTATGAGAAATTATAGTGAGAGAGAGAGAGAGAGAAAGGAGATATGACTCTCAAGGGATTTTATTGCTGTTGCATTTTAACTATAGAAAGCGAAAGAAGGGAAAAGTGGTCATAAAAAGTTAGCTTAAAGTAGTTTGAGTAGATGTTGATGTGTGTCCACTTGCAGTGGAATACAGGAAGAGAAATGAAGAATAAAAGCAAATGCTGTTATAGTAGTAAAAAGAAAAAATATATCGACTAATTTTTAACTATTCTGCCTCAAAGTGTATCATCCCGATTCTCCTCGCACGATGGCGAATGAGTTGTCGTTCGAAAAAAATAAAATACAAATATATATTACGATAAGAAACTCAGAAAATTATCATCGTATTTTAGCAAAGACTTTTCTAACCCTTTTTTAGGATTCAACAAAAAAATCACACGCTATGAAATACATATATAAACGTACTCGAAAAACGCGTGAAAGAAACCCATGCGTCTGTTGTTCCTCGACCACTTCGCTAGGGCATTTTTTTGTAGATGACAAACTCAAGCGACGCATCTCTATACGTTGAAAAAAAAGTCTCTTATTTAATACAAATAGCGAAAAAAGCATAGCGGAACGACTTAAAAACCACAAAAACCCTTAGCAATATACGCGAGCGTTCATGATTATTTTTAAGGCGCATAAGATGCTATTTGAGATAAATGATTAAAAAAACAAATGGAGAATATTTAAGTGTTTCTAATGTTATGTACATACGACTATTTGTGAGAGGAAGGAAAATACAGTTTCGAATACTAATAAACATTATATACGACTCGTTCGACGACCTCATGTTCGAAAAAAAAAGAAAATAAAATGTTTATGTGTTTTAAATGGCTGTGCTTTATTTCTTCATTCAGTCATTTCGTGCTTTTCAAATTCTAGAATAAATTAAATAAATAATAAATACTAATTCATATTTTCACTTGGTTGATTTAATTTTAACGTAAGATATATCTTTTTTTCCATCCTTTTTCATTGAATCTCTCAATGTGCCTTTCTCAATGGATTGATCGTTATCAAATCTGGATGTTAATGAAATGGGTTGTTGATCTTCGCGCAAAAATATCGTTGATTGTGCTGTTGTTGTTTCGGTTGCATTGTTTTCCATCAAAGATTGCTACAAAGTACCGCATACAAGTTCAAAACTAGGATTTTATATTATTTTTAATAATATATCTATTAAAAACCTGCATAACGTTGATCAGAAATAAGAATGCTAGAAGAGTCAATGCACTCAAAGCTGCTCCTCCGCCTCCTCCACCTTTACCTTTTGACCTAAAATATTTTTCCGATAATCACTCAAACGTCAATGTTTTGCATAATTGATTATAATTGATCTGTTAAACGTGACAAATTCGTAGCTAGTGAATTTAATGTAATAGAAAGAAATAATAAAATCATGTAGTTACTATTTCCCATCAGTTTATAAAATTAAAAGATCGATAGTCACGAATAGCCTCAATAAAATTGGCAATTTACCCATGCCATCCATGATCATGATAACTCTCTCCATGATAACGATCCATAATCCCATAATGCGTATGATGGCTCACAGGTGGTTCTTTATGAAAAGCACCAAAGTTCAGCAGCGACTTAAAAGTCATGTCGCAGTATTCGGAGATGTCGTCGCCTTGAAATCCAACGAAAGACTGCCCAGAAATTGTTTGCCTTTTCTGCGTTACGAGCCTTTCGCTCGTATAATTATCACGCCTCGTGATCATGTCGCGCGACAGCAACTCAACGTGTAGCGCGTATAATTGACGCCGGATGCAATGCACAATTTAACCTGACGCTTGAAAAGCAGCTCTGCGTAATTACAGTGAAATCACGGAAGGTCATAACGGTAGATACACGCGATGTGATGAATAAGGGGCTGGCAAATTAACAAACGGTATATTTGTAATAATAATTTGTTTTGTTTTTATTTAAATGCTCGTTGTTTTTAAATTAGAGAATCATACCTCAACACATACATACAAAAGAAGTAAACCTAGTACATGATATAATAATCATAGTAATAATATCGTGAGCTGAATTGTATAAACATCTTTGCCTAAATTCAGCTTTGTGCGCAAATTGCCATTGACGAACAAATTACGCCTATATACATGAACGATGAGTAATAGGTCATTTATTAGTGGAATATTGAATAGAGCAGAATGGAGAAGTGGTCAAAGACAAAAAGAAAAGAAAAAAAATAAATAACTGCGGGTGGTGGAAAATTCGTGTGTATGGATCGTCATTATCACATATATAAATAGCAGTAGTGATTGCAGAATATTGAAGAATAAGAAATAAGGAAACACGGGCCCATCAAAGCTTCGCTAAAGAACCTACGCTTCGCATATCGACATAATAAATAGTAATTAAATAATATGATAATAAACGTTCGTTATTTTGCTCCCTTCTGTTTTAAAAGACAATCGTCGACACTTGGGTGATATTGTATAATTTATATAAGAGGACGAGACGCGGGCCACCTAAGTCTCGAGTCACGTTCAGTCTACTTTTACGGAAGATTCGCAATCACTTTTTTTTCTCAGCACAAGAAAAAGTGAACTTCCTGCAAATTACGCTTGCCTTGGCGTGAAATACATCAAATCGTCTAGGTAAATAATGTTCGTCTCGTCGATAGAGAAACGGTAGATAAGAAACAGGAGACAGCGTCCGTTATTTTAAATTCGAGTCCAGAAGAAGTCTGCTTTTCGTTAGTTGATTGTTGTTGTTGTTTTTCTTTTCAAACGGCGTTGCAATCGAGGAACAGCGTTCTGCAATCTTCACCGGAACGGCCACGTCTTCCTGCCTCGTACAACGCTTCGAAACCTACTCCGCTTTGCCTCTGAAGAAGGTAACTCGTTGCGTACCTGTAAGCATCGTTGGGCTTAGCTTCTGTTCCTCGTGGGTTTCGAGGAGGAGCGAGAAGGAAGAGGAATACGTACGACCCAAGTTGGCAGAAGATAGTGGCTGTGCCTTGGGAGTCGGCAGCACACTCAGCACTCGCTTCGCAGAGTGCGCGCTCAGCACAACCTCTCTGACCTTCTTCCTCGGCGCGGCCCACATTGCTGAAGGATTTCATCGATCTCATGTATCCCTGTGGCGGATACAAATTACCAATTATTTCCGTTCGAAATGCCTTTTGCAGGGATTCCCGAAGAATGCTATGTAATATTGTCGACTTTCGAGCTTTGGATGATTGGAGAAAGTGACACACTAACATTTTTTTCCCGACGCTTGGCAAATCGTCAGAGAGAAAATATTCTTAAATCCTCGATAAAATTTCAAGGCGAAACCAAGCGCACTCCTCAAATAAAAAGACAAGCATTTATGAGAAATAAGCAACATCATTACCTTGAGCATGGAAATAGATGCAACGGCGGCATCGGAGACAGTGTCCTTCTTGCCGAGCGAGCGAGCTTGAAGCGAGCGATGGGAGAAGGACGTCTTCAGGGCATCCAATAGATTGATGACGATATTGATGAACTGCTTGGGACAAAAACAAGCCACTTAGGAACGATATCTTATGGATCTACCATCATCTCGAGATGGGATTTCCCACTTGTGTTTAAATTGTATGTTTTTTCGTTAGTTTATCTAAATTCTACTGATACTTCAATGCGAGAGAGCTTATAATTCAAAGTCAATAGATCCATTGAATGCATTTATAAAAATTGAGAGAACAATGTTGCAGCTTGCAGAATCATTTATTAATAACAAAAAAAAACTTGATTCGTCGAAAAGATTATAAAGGGAAATTAGGTCAAGTCAACTTGGACAAATTCCCATTAGTCAACGCAGAGAGAACAATGGCAAACGAATTCCGGAAGGTCCAACATCTCTCTCTCTCTCTCTTTCTCTCTTTCTCCCTCTGTTTTTCATCTGTATTCTCTTACATAGAGAAAAAGACCGCTTCAAAGGCCGCCGGCACTTATATTACAAAAGCGTGAGCTGCATTACAGAATGCGCGCGCATTGTATGTGGATTGGTTGTGTGTATGTGTGTTTGTGTGTGTGTGTGTGTGTGTGTGTCTGCGCGCGCGCGCGTGTGTACTCGTCTACTGACCTCACTCGCCTGGCCGGCTATCATAGACACCTGTTCCGGATTCCTGCCCTGTCCCAGAAACGCGCCCAGCACCGCTGTCAATAATCCCTAATATGTGCGGAAATTCATATCCAGTCTAATGTATTAATGTCATATTTACAATTTGGAATAATTTGAAAAACTATTTTTTTTAATATTTAAATCACAAGGTATTTTCAAAACAATTTATTGAATATCTAGCTAATTTAAAAAATAGTTTTTCAAGTGTTCGACTATATATACATAGTTTATTGCAATCTATCAGTTGTTCATGAGCTCTGTAATTGCTATCATTTTCTAATAAGTTTCTAATCTTTTTCCAACTATTAATATCTCAGAGGAGTCTTAATTGATACTCAAAATTGATATAATAGTTCTACAAGTTAATGATCTACTATAAAAATATATATAGATAGAAATGAGTATTGGCGTGCAAAAGCTAAAATAAAAACAGCACTTAAGGCAACGGAGCAAAAAAAGAATGATTTTATATAAATTTTTGATGACGACAATGGCGCCAATAGCAAGTATAATATGTACAATCAAAGAAATTCTAATTACGTGTAGAAACAATACAGCAAAGAAAAGATAGAAGCTCAAGGGTGAAAATAAAGAAATATAAAACTAGATGATCTGTGCATTAATGAGAAAGAAGCATTTGTACCTGCATAGGACTGCTGTTCTGATTGTCGACCTTGTCGATGCCATCAACCTGCTGTTGAGGCCCACCAAGGAAAGCGGTAAGTACGCGAAGACCAACGGATAAAAGATTAGTCCACGGGCTGGCAGGCACACCGTCGTCTATTTCGTTCTTACTGGGACTGGCGATTGCGGCATTCTGACCCAGTATCATCTGCATCAACATACTTAAGATGTTTGACCACGTGAAGCCACCGCCGTTACCCTCCTACGTAAAAATGAATATTACTTGATGAGACTTATGAAGAGAATTTAGTTAAAAAGCGCATGCCAAGACAACTTTCTTACAGCGATCGAGTTGGTGCTGATGTCGTCGATGTCATCCAAAGCTACTTTCTTCATTGCGTTTGGTTTCTCGGCAAATTTCCTAGATGCCTCGTCGATTTGTTGCTGGAGAGCAACTTGTGGCAAGGCGAATGCTTGGCACATTACTAATGCCACCATGCACAGCCCAAAGTACTGTTTGCTCTGCATGTTTGTGCTGAGATAATAATATTATCATTTATTATTTTTTCATTCAAAATGCGATAGTAATTGTTTTGGGAGCTCTTATTTTTAAAATAGTTTTCGTAGTAAAACAATTAAAATTGAATGCATTTCGGAAAAGTAATCATTGTTAAGGTTCCTGCAACTTATATTCACTCTTATTCATCGCCAACGTTCATAAATACTTAATGTCATGGAAATATTTTATCAACCCTAATAGACGTATGAATTTCATAAGCGAGTCGACGCTGACATTCTCGATACTCAATTGTAGATTACAGACAAACTCTCGAAAACGCTTTCTCGCATTATTTCTTGTCGCGTGTGTTCCATAGTGCTGCCGATACGCGCGCTTAAAAATTGTGTCCCCTCTGAAAGGAACTTTCCCCGCCTCTTGCGCATGAAATTTCGTGGCTTACTAGACCGCAGCCAGGATGAAAGTGTTACGCATTATTTTTCTTTCGCGTGTGCACGCTTTTCACGTCGATTGGGTGGCACCGTTAGCTAAACAGTTAATGAATTGCCAGGTAAAAGTTTCAGAAAATTTTCTTCAATTTTTCATTCCCGATTGTGTTTCAACAATTTATGAAGTATTTATATCATTACACAACTAATAATAGATATGAAAAATATTTCTGAAACTTAATGAAAAGCGAAAGTAACGAAGGTATTTAAATAAATGCGAAAGATATTCTGTAAAAAAAGTTTCAACTTTCTAAGAAAATATTGTTTATTCTCAAAGATAATGAAAAGGATGACCTATCACTTTAGTGATTGTATCTTCAGGACAGTTAAAGAATTTCTTGGGACGATAATCAACAAAAGACCCTGAACGTGAAAGTAGGCTGAGACGTTAAAAAAAGAAGTTTTTTCATAGAAACGTTTAGTGCAATATCATGGTCAATGCATAAGTAATCAACTAGTAATAACATACTGCGGACATACTTTTCTATCGCGGAAAATGAGTTTATTGTTGTTTATCGAAATTGCATTTACTTTTTCCTCTGTTACGTGCCAGGAAAGTATTAGCGAAAATATTTTCGAAACTACACAAAAAAAGTTAGATATTTCAACTAAAATTGTTCTATTCACGTAATAGAAATATTTTTATATAACGAACCCGTAAGAAGTAAATCATACAAAAATTACACTATTTTTTAAAAAATGTTAACAAACTATATATTAAAATGGCTAAATCATTCAAAAAATTACAAATTTTGAACAAACCATTTGTAATCATTAAACAAAATAGAATCGACAATCTAGCACTTTCCACACACACCCAGAATAAAAGTATAGTGTATATCGAATGGTCGCACGCGTACACTGAAGATATATGTTGACAGGTGCGAGCAAGCGAAAGAAGTGTACATCGAAGCCTTGACCATGAAAGTAGGTCGCGCGCACGAGCGGAGAGGAGGCGGTCTCGTTAGCCCACTCCCAATCGGCTTAAGTTTCTTGACCCCGACGTTCGAAGCGTGCGCCTGCACCGTTACTCTTCTCCACGAAAACGCGGTCGCGACCTACTCACGCTAAACGATCGGGATATTGTTTATCAATCTTTTTTCCTTTTTTACGGCTTTTGGAAATTGTTTGGGAAAGCTGCCAGAGAATTGTTTCTTTCTATATCTGGGTTGGCGTGAGTTCGTAATTGATCGTAATTCCAAATAGTCAATTTGGGCCAAAAGTCTTTCTTAATGACCATTGAGCGTATGCTACAGAAAATAAATCGATCAGTAATTGATATTGTATACCAATAATGCTAATTGAATTGAACCAATTAACTTTTTTATATCTTTAATTTTAATTACGTTCGACACTCATTTTATTTAAATAGATCGTATTTGATTTAATCACTTTTGTGACGACACATTTTACCTGTTCGTGGAGCAGAAAATTTGTGAGACGCAACTATTTTTTGTGACTTTCTAATCAATTATTAAAATCGCTCGAATTATAAACTTTCAAAGTTATTCAAGCACATTATTATAATCGGACAGTGCATAAAATTGCATCAAGTGTCAATAGCAGAGTGAAAATTAGAGCTGAAATATTATCAGATTTCGTCACAAACGCACGTAACACAATCACTAACAAAAATTAAAAAATAATTTAAAAATCTCGTCCTCACCTAACAGGTAAAAATATTCTCGTCACCCACACTTGAAAATCGCAATTGAAAAAAAAATCACTGCACTCGCACTCTTAAATTAAAAATAAGATAATGAGAAAAACTCACTTTTTTATTTTAGATTTCGTTAAAAATATCTATAAGCCGTGTGCGTATGTCTGGGACAATACTTCGCTTCTGCAAGAGGATCGAGTGGCGCGGGTCTTCTTATAGCCATTGCTGGGCCTTAGGGAGGTGGAACTTAACCGTTCGCTTCTTCGTCGCAGTCGTCGTCGTGGTCGCAAGGGGCCTTGCGAGGAATTCCTTCAGCAACAGCACGCACTTTTCTCACTCGCTGTTTTGCAAGCGATGATCGTCTTTTTCGAGATGTTCTATTATTCCTTTTTGTTGTGACCGGATAATGCTTGTTTTCTAAGCTAACGTTGCGTTGGTTTAGTCGAATTACTGAGTGTTTACTATTGTTCTCTTCCTTTTTTATAATTGGAAGGGTTCTTCTTTTATAGTGGATAATTTCCATGATTGCACGAGATTGTAATAAGTTTCTTATGTAACCCACGTTCTTACAAATTTGGGGGACTTATCGAGCATCTTCTTAATTGACAATGTATTTATGCAACAACAAAAACATGTTGTAAAGCTATGGTTTCACGACTAGAGAATTGAAATAAACTTCAATGAATTCAATAGCATTATTGAAAAAATTCAATAATAACACGTTTAATACTTTATTCAATATCATTATATTTTCTCCATCATTTTCCCCGAGAACTTTTCAACGTGAAGTGTGAATTTAGTATCATCAATCAATTATCTTCATTTTCCATCACTTTACTGCACCTCACATTTGGAATAACGGACTGAATTAATCAATATGAAAAAAGCTCAATGTCTAAGAGGGTTTACCCGCATCCAGAAATCAGCCAATCACATGGTCACCGGAAATTTCCAGATTTCTCTCGAGCAAAGAAGCCTCCTTGACTCTCGTCGTGAGAAAAATAAAAGCGGTAAGGTGTCAGTGATCCACGCACGCGTGCGCTTTACTTTCTTCTCTCTCTCTCTCTACTCTCTCTGTCTCTCTCTCTCTCTTTCTCTGGCGTTTCGCAGTAAACAATGCACGTGTCCTAACTCTCTCGTGCATTTTTCTCGCTAGAAATGAGTTTTCTGGAACGGTTTATTTTTTCATTTCCTTCCTATTAGCTTATTTCATTTACTTGGTGATGAGTTGAACGTTTTACCGTTTGCCGCGTACGCGTTGCTGCCTTTGATTTTCTTTTTATAATGAAGTTTGTAATTATGTAGCTTTGAAAAAATGTGTTTGAGCAAAATAGGATGGGTTCTGTTAGGTATGTAAATTGTAGATAGGGATAATGCTGAGTCTCTCCATAGCATGGAGATTGTTTTGTATGGTTGATGATTTATTATGAATGATGCTTTGCAAAATATTATCGATTTCATTCAAATACATTTTTCAATTTTAAGTTCATTTTTCAAATTATATGCGCTGCTTTTGAACGCAGCCTCATTCTAATGCCATCTTGATTGTCGATATTACTTGAAAAATATGATAAAAATTAATATATAGAAAGAACCAATAAAATTAATGCAATTGGTTCAAACTCTCTACGAATGTAGTAGTCGAGAAAGCAAATGAAAATTAATAACTTGTTTATCTAAGAAAAAAAAAAGAAAACCACTAAAAACTGTCACATTTTATTCACCCGCTGAATCATTTATTGGGAATAAATTGTGCAATAAAGCAAAAGAATTTGTCCTACTTGAAGTTCAATAAATCACAAAAGATTATTACGCTCAAGTTTCCTGTTCCAAATCTCTCTGCAACATTTTCGCGTTACTTATGAAACCGGGCAGAAGAGAAAGAAGCGCCACTTCTTCGTAGAAACATAAAAGCGAACAGACACTGTATAAAAGGTAAGTGCAGCGACTTTCGCGGTTACGGTCCGCGTGATAATTGCGGATTCTCTTTCTCTCCTCGTCGCGACTATACGCTTCGCAAGCGTGACGCGTCCCTCATTAGTGCGAGCTTGAATTTGCACTGCAGCGCAGCGAAAGGAAGAGAGAGAGAAAAGCGAGGCGCGTACGTGATTCGTTTCTTCCGAGTTATTTTTGAACTTTCGTGATTTTAACGACGATTCTTGAAAAACAAACATGACAACTGATCTGCCAAGCGAAAAGCAGCACAATTTCGTTTCAACAGTTGGTATTTACTGTTTCAAAGACAAGTGAGATTCTCCGTCTCACACGTCACTTAGTGATCAGATACTTATAAATTTACGCGCAGTACTACTTTCAACGCTTAGTTGTTGTTTAATGAGATCGCTGTGTTCACACACACACACACACACACACACAAGCTACGACAAAATATGAGACTTTTAACAAGTCCCAGTTGTACACTTTTACATCGAGAACGAAGTTCCACGTACGCTTCATTATTCGCAGGTAATGAGTTGGATGGATATAATTCTTTTCAATTTTACTGTTAATATCCTACATTACGAATGAATTTGAAAAATGTGTATTGCGTGTCGTACACTTAATTGAACTTTTTCGATTCGCACCTGTGGTCAATGAATTTTTAGTTGATGTGATTGTAATTGTAACGTTATACGCACACAAAATTGTCGAGTTTATAAAATTTAAATTAGAGATAAAAAATTCACGTAGCCTCTCGCTTGGAACGTTATAAGAGTACAAGGTGTTATGAGTAATATCTCTTTAAAGTATCGTCATGATTGAGTTTCATGTGTGTTATACACTGAAAAGAAATTGGAGATCCTCTTTGAGCGCAAAAAATTGGTATTGGAAAAGCACGCCGTTTACAGGTGTAAAGCAAACG